CCGTGGTCGCAACCAATGGCGGGGCGTTCGGGCCGCGTGAGACCCGCGGGTCGGACGCGGGACCGTTCCAACTCCAACATAGATGGTCGGTGTGGAGCGCTACCCGCTGAGACCGGCTTATTATTAATATTCTGACGAGTCACTGAGCTATTCAAGAGGTCGACCGTATGGGCATAGTATACCCTCAGCGAATGGTTTGTGGTTTAGTTGTTCGTTTTTGTTTCTTTTAGGGCGGTTTTAGTGGAAACCATTTTTAATTAAAAAAACATAAGGATTTAGTTAATAATTTCTTTTTTAGGTGTTAGCAGTGTTTTTGAAAATCGACGGTGTGTGAATGTTAGCTAGTATGAAGTAAAGTAGTCATGGCTAAAAGGTGAAACAATTCGCAAAAAACTATCATCATATTACAGAAAACCCAACCGGATCTAACATGATTGGTGCCACAAGTTAATAAGTAGCTAACATCATAACATACATCGTCGTTAGTCTTCTTTGGAGAGAATTAGTTTTGTATAAACAGGATAACGTTGGGATTTTTGGCATTCTGGCCACACGTCAATCTCTATATAAGGAATGATTAAGAACAAACAGTCTTCCTAGGAATTAAGTGTGCAAGAGAAACTTTTAATTATTATTGAGAATTCCAAGTATAAATGTATATCCGTTTTAGATAAGATAAGGTTTAATTTTTAAAATTGGATTATCATTTGTTTTTGTAGTATTTAAGAATTTTTTTAAAATTATCTTCAAAAGATACTTTGAGTGTAATCCGTAATTAGCGACAATTGGACGGTGCCGATAAAGAGATACCGCAAATGTCTGACCATTAAACACCGCTTAATGCCAATTACGCAGGCGGTTTGAAAACGAGCTGGGAACGTGCGGAAGCTCGCCCCGGACGGTTTTTACGCGGTTCGCACGATAGCGTCCGTTTTTCGGTCGTTTTTCGGGGAAGCCTTGCCTGTGGAAGCGGGCGACGATTTCTCCAGCGCGGCCGTGTATCGAATCGCCCCTTTCTTTTTGCGTTCGAAGCCGCCGCCGTCGTAAAACGAATTCTGCGGGCGACGATCTTTACTTCTCTTCCCATCAGACTCTTTTAACTTTTACCTTTAATTTTTTTTTTTAAATCTAGGTGTAAAATGTACAAAAATAACATCGTGTGTGGTTTGATTCAAAAAAAAAAAATGAAAAAGAAAAAAAGATAACGAAAAAAAGGAAAAGAGCAAAATAAAAAGAAAAGAAGAAAGGTCCGAACTGACCACAATACGGTAGAAACATTCATTAATACGAAAACTGTCACCTGATAAAAGGGCGACTCTGTCGGCAAAGGGGCCTCACTAAATCTTACGAGAGCTCGAAACCCGAAGTGGAGAGAACGAACCGAACGGCTAAGAGAAGAGCGTTTAGCGGTCCATCCTGTCAAAACTATACGCCCGGAACACGAACGGGCAACCTTTGAGCCTTTCAGACGTCCGCGCGGGCGGTCGCCCTTGTTTTGATTAGAATCTGTAAACACGATTCTCCGGTTTAAATTACCTGGGGGCCCTCTGATTGATAGTTCCCCGGACGGCGCAGAAAGGGACGCCGACTTTGTAACCCCGATTTTCCATTTGCTGCTTTTCTTTCTTCTTCCCCGGAACTTAAAAGCTAACATTTTTTTAAATTTTAACACCCAAGGTTGATAAAGAAAAATTTTTCATTCATACATAAATCCCAAGTGAATCAAGTGACCAATGTTTTTGGGTGTTTGTTAATCTACTAAGTATGTCTATATCCCATTGATGTCTTCCAGATCTAGCATAATCTCATTCTGTCCTGGAGATAGTTACATTAAAAAAAGCTCCTCTGGAAGCTGTAACAAGTCTCTAGAAAGCTATCTCTAGTCTTCTGGATGCAGCAGCTAGTCCTCTGTCAGCAATATTTAATATCTAGACTTTCGACGGCAGTACTAGCTTTCTTTCAGTACTATTTATTCTTTTGTCGGTAATATCTAGTCTTCTATTAGCACTATTTCATCTTCTGCCGCAAGTTCTGCATGCAATATCTAATCTGTGATCTAGTCTTCTGTCAATAATAATTAGTCTTCTGAAACAGTATCTAGCAAATTGAGTTAATTTCTGTTCCAACCTGTATTTTGCAGTACAGCAAAAAAAATTGTATTAAATTCTCGTTATCAATTAAAAAAATCGTCAAAATGAACGAAAACAATTTTTTTAGAATAGAATTTTATTGAAATTTTTATGGGGTTGGTTTGTCGTGGGAATTTTGGCGCCCCGGCGCGTTCAGGCGACAGGTAGGACGCGCCGTTTAAGTCCTATTAGATAAATCGATTAGCTTTACGCCCCAGAAGGTCAGATAAGGATGAGGCGTCCCGCGGTCGCCGATACTTAGTTTGTTTCGGGTCGAAGGTATGTTTTCTTTCCTTTTTTTTTTGATTTATTTTTTTCTTCGTTTTTTACTCCGCCGACGAATACCTGATTCTCGGGTGACACGATATATCATTCTAATGAGCCCGAAACCTCCAGTCTCTACGGACTCTCCTAAAGTTTTCGGAGTAGTCCAGCTCGCGTTGGAATCCGATCGGACAGAAGCCCGAAGATTCTGTACCGAAAAAGAAAAGATACTTTTTATATACTTTCTACTTTTTAGAGATTTTTTCCTTTTTTATTCACTAACTTATAACCTTGTCGAGTCATCACGATATATAATCGATACTCTTTATTATTAAAATTAGGTAACACACGTGGATTTTCCTATATTAGAGATGCTAATTGAAAAAAAAACTTTAAAAATATTTCTATTCAATAAAAGATAATCTATCATAATCCTAGTCGTGTAAACAACTCAAAAAGAGATAATAATCTTTACCAAAAATAATACCACCATGTTGATTTTCACGTTTCTATTATCGATATCAAACTTTATCGGGGCACGAATTTAAGATACAAAACAAAATAAAAAAAAACAATTATTCTCATTATCGTAACATGTTGAATTCCTTGACCCCGATCAGTTCTTGAGTGGGACCCTTTTCTCAAAAGAAAAGACACCGAATTCTAAAGCTACCAATTTCGGTATTGTGACTGTCCCACAAAAGGATACATCTGACGAATAGTTTCCTTTCACAAAAAGGTTTTTCAGAAAAAAAAAGAAACGACCACGATGTCCGAGTTTACGCACACAAAATTATTAATACGACTATGTTTTGTTTAGTTGTAATCAAGCGATAAAGAAAACGATCCCTAGATAAAAAAATTCCATAATCAACAAAAAGGTTAATGATCCAATTTTATTTTAAATATTTTTCGTCTTCAAAACTTCTGGAAAAGAAGAAGCACACAACACCATAAGTAAACACGAAACCTCATTCCCGTCTTTATCTCAGAAACCCGATACACAATGAATCAGATCGTATTTGCCCCAGATTAATAAATAGTCCATGACGAAAGTTCGTCGAGATTCTTTCATAACATTTTTTTAATCAATTTTGTAACAATTATTGTAATATTCATTTTAGTAGTGAGTGGGCGATAGAAAATTTAATCTACAATGGAATTTCAATTAAATTCCATTTTTGTGATCGAAGGAATGCGATAAGAAGTTTTACGACTTATATCATTATCTGGATGATTACATAGGTTAGAATTCTAAAATATTTGGGTTAAGTCAAGGTGTAAAATAAAATTCCTAAGAAATGTTTTCTTATTTACTTCTTGCAAACTTATATCTCGAAAAGCTTCAGGGTTTAATCCTGGATTTATTAAAACAATTCTTGATTTATTGAATAGTTAGCATCAAAGATCAATGGTTTTAGGGGTAAGTTAAAAGTAAATCAACTTTGTATATTTATGTACTAAGTAGAGTACAGGAGGGCGTTGCACTAAGTACCGAACGATTCTCCTGATGATGATCGCGACTGATTGAAATCGGTAAAGGAAAACTGAACAACATGATGTGTCAAGTGCTTATATTTTTATTCAACTATTACGTCTTGTAAATCATTTCCAGCTTTGAGTTTAAGGGTTCTAATTTTATAAGTCCTCTCCCAAACTATAGAGCAGCATAAAGGAACATTTGGCTACATTGCAAAAATACCTTTGTCTTCATAAACTCTCATATTCTCGTAGATATTTCACTCGGAATCGGTATTCATATTCTTACTTCTTTTGAAGACTGCTTTAGAATTGCGTTTTGGGTTGTTTAGTTCTGGGGAATATTAAGAGGTCGAACGCAATTTGCAAGTCTTCAAGGGGTTAATTAATCTGTTGTATTTTAGAGCAGATACTTTGCATGTTTTAGGTTCATGCCAAAATGGTATCCCATATAGAATGTGCTGCTTTTAGATAGGGAGCAATATCTGATATCTGTCAGATTTATCCATAATTTATAGAAATTGAAAGTAATGTTGTTTTTTCCATAGTTGCTACAATGAGAGGGCATCATCAAGGGTGGCAGAAGAGTTGGACTCTCAAGTAATTCATGTTATTATATTCTGCATCAACCTACATATCAGGCAGCCGCTTTAATGCAGTGTTCAGAGATGATCAAAGAGTTTCACATGGAGATAATTGCCTTCTTGGTCGGGATGTATTCTAGAGTAACTCTGGTTTCTATTCTGCATTAATATGGATTTAGAACAGAGGACATAGGATTTAGGTCGATCGCAGACCACTTAGAGTGTAGAATTTCGGGTAAACTCAAAGTACATCGATCTGAAAGACCTCGTTACTTGAATTTCTCGGGATACTTTGAGGTTGAGACATCCAAACTTGAACGAGGAATTTAGCTATATCCTTACTTTTTTCTCCAAGAAGTATAGCCGAGATAGGGCGGCAATTAAATAATCGTTACTTTAAATTTGTTTCCGAAGAAGGTTACAACACAGAAACATTTGAAAGATTTTTATAAATTTACGATTAAACCTGGAAGTTTCTAGTTTTATTGCTAATACCTTTTATAACATTATTTATATATAAGATAATTTTTGGAACATTCTTAGATTATATTCACACATGCATTCTAGAGATGTTTAGATTGAAGTATTACTAAAATGATTTATGATATGCAATAAATGAAACAAATTCGAGTAAAGAGTGTTGTTAAGATCTTGATATGAAGATAAATAGTTAAAAATATTTTTAGTTGATGGAAATTTAAGTATAACTTCTGTGTAAAGTTTGGTTGTAAGAAGGGATCTTTTTTGGTTGTCTTCGATGATTTGCGATCTGGGTTCACGTCGGAGTACCTCACCTGTACGGTTCGGTTCGTTTCGGGTTCCGCCCATCGTCCAATGGCACGGAGGGCCGCCGGCGGAAGATGGCCTTACATTTACGGTGGAGGGGCTGCGGCGGCTTAAGCTGCACCTATGACAAGTGCACGGGTTCATTTTACGCCGTCAGCCTCCACCTGAACGGGATCCTCAGGAGATCCTCCTGATGATTTCGCGTTGCGCGTATCGCGTGTGCCACCAAAGGAAACTAACAACGAACACGGCAACGATCGGAATGCTGATGATGATTATAGTTATAATGTTGTTGATGTCGGAGTGTCGCGTCGCGAGCAGGAGATGAGGTTCAGGTGGGCTGCCGTGGTCCTGGTCCTGGTGCTGACCGTGCCCAGGTTGGAAGCTTGCGGACCGGGCCGCGGGGGCTTTAAGAAGATACTCATCAAGCCACTTACGGCTCTCGTCTTCAAACAACATATTCCAAACGAAGTCGAAAACAGTCTTGCTGCTAGTGGTCCTTCTGAAGGTGCCATCGATAGGGACGATAGTAGGTTCAAGGACTTCGTACTCAATTATAATCAGGACATTATTTTTAAAGACGAGGAAGGTACAGCTGCTGATAGAGTTATGACTCAGGTAAGTCACAAAAAATTGTTTAAAAAAATAATCCTTGAAAATACACTCATCAACCCACTTGTTGGAGTTGAAGTGTTTTCGAAAAAAATGAGACGAAAGACAAATACGGATTTCTTCGATAATTTTAGTATAACCATTATTTTTACTTCGTAACAATAAAATATATTTATAAAAAAAGTCAATATACTTATAGATTGTATCTTATCAACATCCTGTTACCGTATCAATGTTATAAAAAGAAAAATTAAATATAAGTACAATTCGAATTGTGTTGCGTACAGTTGGAATGTGAAAAATGTAATTTGTTACATTTGCAACAATCGTTTTATGATCGCTAATTATTATTATAATTATTCAAACGGTGCGAATGAAACTCGAATCGGTGAGAATCGACGTCGTCTTTAATATATTCCGGTTGAATTATGACGCACTTTCCCTAGATTTATTAAACTCGGCGGCTATTTGATTATTTAACGCATTATTTGCACTCGTTAATGACTTTATTAGTGAACTTTTTTTGCATATTCATATTTATGCAATAAATACTTTTTTCTCAAAACAATTAAATTAAAACATTTAATCTGATTAATTATAATTATGTCACGTTTATCGACAGTGATCATAAAATTGATAAGATTATTTTATTGAAGCTTCTAAAAAATAACATACTCAATACGGCAATAAACTACAATAACAACATATTGTGTTCGTATTAGAAAAAAAATTCCAAGCTTTACAGTTTGTTGATCGCTTTAAGGTAATCCCCAGGTTACCGTTAATCTTTAAATTTTCGAAACACCCAGGTTTCGTTTTAAAAGGATTAACAAGGAGCCCGGATTCTATGCACACGGGACTCTTCTCGGAAGATTCACCAAGAAGATAAGGCAATTAATTCTTGGCTAAAGCCATCGGCGCCCGAACAAAGAGGGCCCTTTGCGAAAAAGCCACGTTCCCACGAGCTTCGGTATCTTCGTCGTCCGCACTCTTATGGCTTCTTTTCCGCTCCTTCATCGGTGTATCATATTTGCGTATCATTTTTAACAAATTTTTTTGTTTTTAATTTGCATAGTTATAATTAAGGTGGGTCAATATTTGTCTTAATTAAGTATTAGATCATCAAAACAATTTTGGGTAATAAAAACAATTAAAGAGAATTTTTTTCTACAAAAATGAAAATCTTGATATTTATTTGTATATCGAAATGTTGGTTGATAACCAAATCAAATATTAACTATTCTAATCTAAAATGTATTCTATAAATACGCCGCGAAGAATTCGTCTTGACCCAGGACGTTGTTATTGACGTTGTTTGGTTGTGGAAGAAATTATAGCTCCAGTTAGCAGATTTCGAGCTGAATCGGCCAGATAAGCGATACAATCACCGACAGAAATTTAGACACAACAAACAGTATGGGATAAACATCAGTATCGTGACTGTTGGTATCAGTCATTTAATCCAAACGCAAATTGTGGCAGTTGGGTCGTTGAACGAACCGGTAACGTAAGACTTGCGTACGGTGTCGGTTTCATTTTGCTTTATAGTTGCGATACCAACAGTTTCTAGAAGCGGAGGAGATTGTGAGCACATTGTATTAAACTGTACCTATGTGTATATTATATTATAACCGATTTCCTGTTTTAATATTTACTTACTTTCACTCCCTTTTCAAACAGAACGTGATAACAAAAAGAAAACTACAATGTTATTTTTTCTTTTCACATTTGACCTCATAAATTGTAATCATTATGTAATGTTCCCCTTGACTATATCGGGAGCATTTATGACCGGGGCGGTATCGGTATATGCGGAGTCTGTACGGTCTCTAATCTGCATATGACATGGTACCCCATTGTGCCCGGTCAATTGGAGAAAATAATTTCACGACGCGATACCCATTGTTGTGCTATCACAATATTATAATAAATAATCTCGGAAACTAGAAAGGAACGCGACGACAGGTAAAACTCTGGAATGTCGTAAATTGCTTTGTATGGAAAGAAGGTCGTGGGTCAAGGATGGTCACCACTTAAATCTTTTAATTTCAAATATAATCATACATTATATCAGAAATTTTTTGAAAGAAAACTTAAAAAAAACTTACTCGAAATGATTCCTCAAGGGCTATGTTACCATATTCTTTTGAAATCTTCTGGAACAAAAATAAAATCATTATCATATGCAAAAAATAATATCAAAGAAGAAATTAAAACGACTGTGTTTTAAGCATAACCATATAACTCCATAAAAAAATACACTAAGCCACAGCCAGCTCATTCAAGAATTAATAAAACCTCGAGACATTAAACATATCAAAGAAGAACCTGATATAGAAGACAACCTGAATTTCAAGTAAGTCATACATAACTAAAACATTTGTTAGATTTATAATCACATAAAAGCAGCGAGCACATCTCTAAAACGAAGATATCGCTTTATAATTTACAGCTTTGGTGCGATACCTCATCTATCTCACCTATCTTCAAAATTGATATCCCAGAAATATTTCGTGAAACAATTCTAATCAATCATAATCGCGAAGTTTTAATTTCATATTGAGCCTACGTGGATCTTACGAAGTCTTAATCGGATCTTAATTAGCGCTTAATCTGACGTTAATTGGATGTTGGCTTTGGATGTAAATAATAAATAATCAAAATTGATATCCCAGAAATATTTCGTGAAACAATTCCAATTTATCATAATCGCGAAGTTTTAATTTCATATTGAGCCTACGTGGATCTTACGAAGTCTTAATCGCATCTTAATTAGCGCTTAATCTGACGTTAATGGAATGTTGGCTTTGGATGTAAATAATAAATAATCAAAAATGGATTTCGCAAAAATTAATCGAATGTTTATTTATCAATACATAACATCCATTTGAAAGTTAACTAATCGCTAATCAGTTATTTATCATAATTCAAACGTTTGTATCATATCGAGTCTAAGTGGTTCTCATAAAAAACAAATCGGGTGTTAATTAACGCTTAATTTGACGTTGATCGAATGTTAATTTTGGATTAAAGTAGTAATAAATCAAAAATGAGTTACGAAAATATTAAAAATTGATCAAAATGATCTTTAAAACATCGATGAGTTTGTAATCATATTATGTTTAAGCTGAATCGAGAATTGAATCCTGAAAAATGTTTGGACGTCGATTCGCTTTTAGAATAAGTACTCTAAAAGCGAAGTTAATCAGTTATTTATCATAATTCAAACGTTTGTATCATATCGACTCTAAGTGGTTCTCATAAAATCTAAATCGGGTGTTAATTAACGCTTAATTTGACGTTGATCGAATGTTAATTTTGGATTAAAGTAGTAATAAATCAAAAATGAGTTACGAAAATATTAAAAATTGATCAAAATGATCTTTAAAACATCGATGAGTTTGTAATCATATTATGTTTAAGCTGAATCGAGAATTGAATCCTGAAAAATGTTTGGACGTCGATTCGCTTTTAGAATAAGTACTCTAAAAGCGAAGTTAATCAGTTATTTATCATAATTCAAACGTTTGTATCATATCGACTCTAAGTGGTTCTCATAAAATCTAAATCGAGTGTTAATTAACGCTTAATTTGAGGTTAATCGAATGTTAACTCTGGATTAAAGTCATAATAAATCAAAAATGAGTTACGAAAATTTTAAAAATTGATCGATATTGTAAATAAATATTCTAGAAGGCGATCGCTACTCAAATAATGATCTTTAAAACATCGATGAATCCTGAAAAATGTTTCATTATAAAATCTTGTTCTTAGGTAAAAACTTTGAAATGAAAGAAACGTATTTTCTCTACATATAGGTGCGAATTCTTGAATCCTTGAAGAACGTCGTCGTATTCCTCCTCTTGGACATAGTCTTCTACCTAGGGTAATACAATTAAAGTTAAATGCCACCGGATTTTCCTTTTCAATTCTCGTTGAATAGCCAGTTTCCGATCGGTCGATAGTCGTAAAATCGCAAACGGCGATCCAAAGGCATCGACTAATCGATCCGATGGGCTAATTACAACCCGATCGAACTATATACCGGCGATTTTAATGTTTCACTTAGGGCCGGCCTGTTAATCGATCGCTCTAATTGCCGGGCAGTTTCGCGACTAACTCTATACGCGGAGTTCGGTATGCCGAGGCCTTCCCATAACGGGACGTCGACAACGCGCGTCCTCGCGTTTTCCATTTTCAAGGTTACGCGCAGGACGAGCTTACACAGTATCGCGTGTACACGATCCGTAAGTCACCTCAGAGGTGGCCGAATAGATCTCGTCGTCCACTCTTAAAACGTTTTTCTTCTTCTTCACACAAATTAACCGACTAAAAATAGATCGGGGTTTAGAGATCGCGTGAAGAAACGTTGTAAAGAGAGAGGGAGAGGTGTTTTCAAATAGATCTTGACATTCCAGCTATGACAAATTAGCTATGGGGAACGGTAGCGAAGCTGTGCTGCCATACGAAGAAATAGATGGGTAGTCATAGAATCCATGCGTTCCAAGAAGACGAAGAAGTAGAAATGAGAGGAGTTAGTTGGTATTGTGGACGCGTGTATAAACACGCACGACACCTAAACAAATATAAAGCGGGAGTGCGGCGTCTCGTGCGGCCGCGAACGCTCCTCACGGGAGCGATTATCATTGCCGGCACAAAACAAGATTAATGCCCCCTTTCATGGTCGTGAATGCGCTCACTTGGACCGTGGTGTGAATTATGATTGATAGCAGAGAACGCGTTTGTGTAAGGCTTTGACGCATCACTGACGTGAGTAAATATTGGCCGTCGTCGTCGTCTTCTTCCTTCTTCACGCCTTTTCTTCTTCTCCTACGTTCAGCTCCTCTCTCGGTAACAGCAAACTACTGAGAATATTGATGGATTGATGGCGGTGACAAGTTGGGAACACAAACGATTTTGATACATTGATGTTTGTTTCCCGTGGGAGAGGTTACTGCCCTTTCTTTTATTTATTTATTTTCCTCCTATAGAAATATTTGGTTTCAAGGAATAATAGGTATCATTAATTCTTCTGCCAAATAGGATTATCCATCTGAAAGTAACTTAACAGATCGATCGCGTTAAACGTGTAACACGTTACGTGTTCGAAGTGAAGAACTGGTCTTCACGGTGCATCGGTATCAATTTAATGGGAAGAAACCGTGTCGGTCGCTTAAGTGTTTTAAAAAGACCCTAGCGGACAAAATGGAAGATAGAAGCGCTCGGCAATCGAAGAAGAAGAACAAGAACGACCGACGAACGAAGCCGTCGTTTTCTTCGACGAGAGGTGGAAGAAGACGAAGAAAAGAAAACCGACGTAGCAGAAGGGAAGAGGAGAAAGGGGGGGCGAGCACGGAGTTCATGTCCAATTGTGCACAGGTAATAAATTCACGAATTAATAACGGAGCTGAAAATATTACGGCCAATGTCAAAAATTTAATTGCTTTCGTAATTTATGTCGGCTCCGCCTCTCGCCGCGAAGGGCGCCTTCTGCCCATTCAGTCTGGAAACACCAATTTACGCTATAAATTACTGCCACTCCGCTGGGGCACCTAATACCAGTTCTCGATTACCGGATCACCTTACCTCAAAATGGAAGCGCCGCTCCACAACCTCTCTCTCAAGAAAACACAAGAACAAGACGAAGAAGAAAAATGAAACAGCATCGAATACTCTGGATCTTTGCAAAAGATTTCTTCACTTTATTTCTTGTACTTTCGAGATCTTTTCTACACTATACTCGATTAATTCGAAATGTAACCTTAATACATTACCAATTTTGCTGTGAAATTTGAAGAAAATTATAATTGTAAGCGATTCCAACGAATGAAGAGTAAATCCTCGTTTCCAAACAATAGGTAATAGAGAGGATAAGAAAAAAAACGAAAATCTATATGGTTGTGGTATTCTGTTGGTGGAGCTGAAGAGACGCTATGGCTGACGTGGGCGGGAGCAATGGAGCAACCCGCCCCAAGCAAGACAACGTTTTTTGTTCTGGGGCCGAGCCGACAAAAGACGGTCGGTCCCTTTCTTCTTCTTCGCCTTCGTCCTCACCGCGGATCCCGCTTTGAAGAAGCGCGGGCCCATTGACGCCGGAAAGCCAGAAAAGTCTCCGAAGTCTTGGTTCCCACGTCGACCATCCGGTGTGCCCCCAAACGTGCAGTCCAACGGTCTGCCGGACGCAGTCCCCAACTGGTGGGGACCGCAGGGCCGTCGGGAAATCGTCGGCCACAACGTTCTTCGTCGTTATCTGATTTAAGAGCGGCCCGGCCATGGCTGACTGGCGGTCATGGGCCGACACCGGACCGGCATTTCAATGAATAATTGGCCAGGGCCGGCCGCCTCTCGGACCAAAGGCCGAAGAAGAACTCTTCTTTCTTCTACTTCTTTCGAAGGCCATCACTACCTTGCCCCTACTCCCCTCAACATTTCACCATCATCATCATCATCCCATTCTCAACTAAAATAATAAATAATATTAAATATTATGAGGAAAAAATTGTATGCTAAAATAAAAATTGTGATTATGTCTTAGAATTTGTTGTAATTTCTGGCATCATCGCACAGAAATGGCCGTCCTTTTCCGGTCGATCTAACCCAAACACATAGCAACCGAGTGAAAACGGCTTGCCGATCGCCATTCTAGTCGTGAAGACCTCCCCAAGAGAAATTAATAACCTGAAGGGATCGGTTTCTATGCCTGTGTGTGAGAGTGTGTACACAGGGCGGACGAAGACTTTTTGACTTCGGTTATACCTGGCCGCCTTTTGTTACCTCGCCTTTTGCGGCTTGCTTCCCATTGTCAAAACAGTGTAAACCGGGCCTGGATGCCTCACCGCAAACAACGTCCTAAGTTGTTCGACAAATAAGTGGACCCTTCTCTTCTCCCTTTAGTATAATAGAAATAGGTTTAAAAACGGATCTTTGTGTACTTCTTGGAATTTATAAAATATAAATCTAATAGCTAGTTAAAATGTGTAAACTTTAAATGATTGTTTTTGTAATAATATTCTTAGAAGTTCATACAAATTCGATTGGTGGTAATAAAACCGTGGTAGCAAAAACTGTTGAAATGGTCCTCTTTTTATACATTTGTAGTCGTCCAGTTACGGCTGAGAGCATGAATAAATTAATTTACATATATATTGGAAGGCTTTACGAGAACCACGATTCGCCAAGGTGCAAAAGTTGGCGCGGAAAGCACGATGGTGGATTATAAATCAAAAAGGCGAACCGGCTTAATAGATTTTCGGCCAGATCGGCCTCCGTACAACGTACATTTATTAATGGCCCCAGATTACAAGGGAAAATAAGTATCAGAGACGGTTGTGTTACCCACGCGCTTCACAACCGTTATTTATGGAATGTGTCAAAGTTGCTTCCTTTCTTACTTTTTCTTCACCATCATCATCATCATCCAGAAAGAATCGCCGACTTGTTTACGCTTCTTCTAAATAAGAAGGTCACCGGCATGGTGCAGATTAAGGCGAAAAAATGTCGCTTTTCCTTCGTACGAAAAGCGAGTTTATGGAGTTGTGTAACCGGCATATTCCCCGTGGAGATGAAAATGTGAGGATTCGTATGCAACCGACGACTTCGTCAGTTTCTCTATGCGCAGAAGAAAGTGCGTCGAAGACTATTACAAATAAGTTTTGCTTTCCGTTAACACTTTCCGAAATGCAAATTTGTATTATTTCTTCAATAAATTTGTAAATTTTGTTAGAACCTTCATTTTTATTTTGTTGAAGAAAGTTGCTTAAAAACGATTCGAACACCTGTTCGAGTTTTTACGCTCCAGCCAACCAAGTTAAAATTACAGGCTTCGCAATTTTTAATTTGCTCTTAATCTTGTAGTTCTTTTTGGGTAGCTCCGGTTGGCGAAGTCGTTCGTTATCTCAGAGGGTATTAATTTTTTACGACACCCACAGTTTGAAAGACAAAGAAGGAGGTTGTGCGAGTGAGCGAGTAAAAGAAGAAAGCACACTGATTGGTAAATTGAAATGAAGAAGAAGCAGAAGAAGAGGGTCTTTGAAGTTCTTGACCCAATTATGCGACCTAATGGGAAACCGGGGCAAGTTTGCAAACACGAGACCGGCGCATCAAAGCGAGAAACCGACGCCCATTGTCATCGTCGTCGTCTTCTTCGATGTCCTGAAACGATCCTTTTTAGCGAAGATAAATGACGACATGTTTACGCGGACAATGTCTGGTCAAGAATGGTCGGTCAGCGTGTGTTTTTGGGCGTTGACAAAAGGGGCGCCACGCGGCGAAGACGTCACCCACCCAAAAAATATTTAACTTTTCGATTCGTTTCGTTTTTTTCTTTCCGGCGTCCATTAGGTTTCTACACATTTTTCGTATTCTTCTTGGTCATCTTCCGCACTGTTGACACAAAAAGCCCTTTCGGCCCCGTATGTCACCGAAGCAAACATAGAAGAGAAGATCAGAGGAGACGGTCCATTGTGCGGCGTTTATTGAAGAAGAACGGTCCCTGGTGCCTCTGTAAATGGAAAATATTGTAAATATTGTCTCTCTTTCCTCAGCCCATTCTTTGTTCGCCAGAGTCCTGTTGACACTTTGCTCAGACGACTAAACGTGACGCGAAGCTTAAAATAAAATTTTCAAAAAAAACTATTCGAATTAAAAGAATTATTTATAGTTAGTTAAGTAACTTAATCGTTGTTTTGATTTTGATTTTATTACTTCGATCTTTTTTTCCCAATCCTTCTCCTCCAGGCGAACCCGGAATAACCCAGAAAAGACGTGTCAGAAAGTCCTCCGTCCTAAGTACACATAATTTAGGGTTTCACAAAGCAACATGTCCCCGCGGTGTGGTAATAATAAAGGGTTTATCGGGTCCGGATGTCGGCTATTTGTTTACCTGGTCGGGAAAGGTAGGTGATAAAATGGGAATAAACACGCGTTCATTAGCTTTTATCCTTTTTACAGGGGAGGGATTTTAAAAAGTCGAAAACTTATTTCGATTTATTTTAGTTCTTCGACATTCTAAAAGTAAAAATAAAACGAAAAGATAAAAAGAATCAATCGAAGATTCACAGTGACTTTCACTCCATCGGCTCAATACACACAAAAAGAAAACCAGCTTATCGAGATTTCTATACTCCTTTTTCGGCTGCGCCTTGTTCGTAATAAGAAGAAGGAAAAAGAAGGAGTCTTCTTCTACCGTTTCTCGCGTGTGTGGTTCTCACGGTACCATCGACAATCATGTGATCTTTGAATCTCGCGACAAATCCGACTTTAGGAGACCGATGATCTTAATACTCTTCGCTATGCAACGGTTTCGATTAGAACAGATTACGTAAACCCAGAAGTTTATCAGTCGATAATATCATTTAAAATGATTCAGAAATCATATATCTTATGACACAAAATTAAATCAACCAAATCAGTTAGCAACACTGACAATCACACTCCAATATCTTCTTTATATCATTAATGAGTGCAAGGACTGATTGTGGCTCAACCCAAGCCGAATATTTTTAGTTCTAAGTCTAGTTCAATGAAAAATGTATAACAATCTAACGCTGAATAAGAACTAAAACTACCGAGTTTTTCTATTTTCTTCAAGAAAATATTATGGTCTATAGAATCAAAAGCCTTGCTAATTACAGAAGGCTACTTGCATATCTAAAGCAGCTATTATGTTTTGAATTACAGTAAGAAGTACTGTCATTGTTAATTTTTTCTATATGTTTCATGATTCTGTTTTTTTATCATAGTTTCAAAAACCTTTGACATTATTGGTATTATTGATTTATTAGTTTTATCATTTGGATCCTTTGATTTCTAGTCGCATTCCTTCTTCTTCTTCAATTTGCTCAAGTCCAATAGGATCTTTTATTTCCATATTGGTAGTTTGAGCTTTACCACTGTTTACAAAAAATTGATTTAGGTCATTTGCGTCCAGAAGAGAATTATTTTCTTTCCTTTGCGCATCAGTGTTTTGATCGATTATTGAAATGTTCTATTGCTTTATTTATTAGTCTTATTTTTGTATGTTTCTTCTTTTCAGTTTTATGTTCAAGAATAATTGTTGTCAATTACGCCAGATGGTTACGTAGATGCTAGTTTACTGTTTTTTTTTTATGACAACCTCAGTAAATGTATTTATAAATATATTATCTATACATCTTCTTCCATTTACACGCGATGGTTGACTAAAGACTGGTTTAAGTCCATGTTCTGACATAATAGATAAGAAATTTTCTTTGATTTTGGAGTTTTCATTAACACANTATTGTTTAAAACAACGTAATTTGTTCAGACAGGCATTAATCTTATTTATGGTTTTTCTTATGAAAATCACAATTAATTGGTGTTATTTAGTTAGTACTAGATCCTAGTAAGTGCACAACTTCCATAGCTACCTATAAAGAAAAAAATTTTTTTAATAATAGCAGCGCTTTACAGTCCAATGTAGCATATTTTCTTTTTTTACGCTAAAACTATTATCTTTAAGGAAAAAACTAAAGAGACAAAAACGTACCAATAATGAATAAGCTTTACAACCCATATATTACTATTTTTTATGTTAATATTCCATGGCGTTAAGAAGTTGTTATAAAAAAATCAAACACGTTGTGAATTTCATTCCCTTAGAGGGCGCTAGGGAAGTTTAAGGTATGGTTGAAAATAAGATATGAACCAGTAGTATATACATACAAAATTTCAAATTCTGTGGTTTACTCATAACCGAAAAAAAGATAAAATGTAAATTTTTGGCTCAACTTTGACAGCTCATAGTTCGGAAACAAAAGAGTTGTGACCCTATGTGTATATAAAAAAACTTGTGTTTTTTGGCAAGTACTACATCCTAGTAAAGTTTCCCGATTAAAAACTGAACCACCCTGTATGTTTCATGATTCTGTTCTTTTATCATAGTTTCAAAAACCTTTGACAGTATTGGTACTATTGACATTGGTCTATATTTACTTTTATCATTTTGATCCCCCGGTTTCTAGTTGCATTCCTTCTTCTTCTTCAATTTGCTCAAGTCCAATAGGATCTTTTATTTCCATATTGATAGTTTGAGTTTTACCACTGTTTACAAAAAATTGATTCCTTTGCGCATCAGTGTTTTGATCGATTATTGAAATGTTCTATTGCTCCTTTATTTATTAGTCTTATTTTTGTATGTTTCTTCTTTTCAGTTTTATGTTCAAGAATAATTGTTGTCAATTACGCCAGATGGTTACGTAGATGCTAGTTTACTGTTTTTTTTTTATGACAACCTCAGTAAATGTATTTATAAATATATTATCTATACATCTTCTTCCATTTACACGCGATGGTTGACTAAAAACTGGTTTAAGTCCATGTTCTGACATAATAGATAAGAAATTTTCTTTGATTTTGGAGTTTTCATTAACACACATATGTTATTTTCTCCCACTATATATATATTTTTAACGTTTTGAGTTTCATTTACGAAAACATTTACTACTATAAACACAGAATTTAATTGCGGGATTTTTACTGAACTTGAATTTGATGAGTATAAAAGAATAAGATATCACTACGTTGCATATTTTTATTACACTAAAACTAGAACTAAAACATTTGGGTTGTATCTAGAACCATTGTAGCTGTAATTTAGAGACGTGCGACTAAATCCAAAATGATTGTAGTTCTAGGTATAGTGTTAGTTCTAGTATCGCACTATCACTAGAACTAACACAAGACTTACAACTAGAATCATTCGGGTTTAGCCGTCTTAAAAGACGTGGCTGAACCCAAATGTTTCTACTTCTAGGTCTAGTGTTAGTTCCACTTTTAGTTCAATAAAAATATAGAAGAATTTTTGCTGTATATAATATATATAAAAAAAGTTGTTTGGGTGATGATATATTTATTTATTTTCTTTTATAGAGGTGCCAAGAAAAATTAAATACTTTAGCCATTTCCGTGATGAACCAATGGCCTGGTATCAGATTACGAGTAACCGAAGCTTGGGATGAAGAAAAACATCATTCGTCGAATTCCCTACATTACGAAGGAAGGGCTGTCGATATTACCACTTCAGATAGGGATAGGGGTAAATACGGGATGTTAGCACGATTAGCCAAAGAGGCTGGTTTCGATTGGGTTTATTACGAAAGTCGGAATCACATTCACTGTTCAGTAAAATCAGGTAAGAACTTAAAAAAACCCACTTCTTTTCGAATTCCAAGTAAAAACACAACACACTACCGTTTTATTTTTACTTGTTTTCATTGCTGTTCTTATTGTGTCTATTTGGTTCTTTTTTCTTTTCTGTTAAACTCAAATTAGACACGCTTTCGAAACAAAGTAGAAACAAAGTGATTTACAACGCTATGCCAGCTACTGGGAGATGCTGAAGAAGAAGAACGCGTTTATTGAACGCGTTTTTCTTTTCCTCCCCGGAGACAAAACTCTCAATGAGATTTGTTGTTGAAAGCGTTAAAAGGTAGACAAATACGTACCGCAAACACAAAACTTTTGGTCGACTCGCTTGGTCTTTGCATTCCACGGTCTTTGTCAAATTGTGTTACACACATATGTGCCAATGTCAAACTATTATTTAAACCAAAAGAAAAAAATGAGCTCTAAAATCTTTTACCATAGCAAATTTGTCTTCTTATCGCCATATCGTTAATTATACAACGCGCGAGCAACGAGCCGCATCTAATCGACTAATTAATTCAAGTCGTTCAAAAGAGAGAGAAGGACTAAAACAGTTTCTCAACGCTTTAATACCTCGTTTAATTAATCTACAAGCTTGTCGATGTGTTGTTAAATGTTGTTAAAGGTTCAAATAAAACAATTAATTTTATGTAAATAAAACGTGATTTTTCGTTTGAAGAATAGATTATGTTCTTAGCGAAAAATCGTGACGATTTGAAAAGATGTCGATTTAAAATTTTAGAAAAACACTTATCTAGGATTTCAAAAATTTCGAATTTAAAAATAGAAACGACCACTTAAAATCTTTATTACCCAATTACAACTCATCCAAGTAGATGAAACAAACTAAAGCCGATACAAGACTTCACCCAACTCGTTTTATTATACAACCTCAATATAAATCCTTTTTTTTTAATTTTCCAGAACCAACGCATTCAAAATACGGTGGTTGTTTCTCATCAGAAAGCACCGTAAAAACCTCATCCGGCGAAACCAAACAACTAAAAGACCTCGAAATCGGCGAAAACATCCTCACCTACGACTTGGAAACAGGTGAAACAGTCTTCAGCGAGGTGTTATTATTCTTGGATCGTAATCCGGGTGAAGTGCGCCGGTTCGTACACGTGGAAACAACGCGACGAACATTAAAGGTGACAGCATCGCATTTAGTGGTGATTAAAGACGCGAATAACATTACCAGGACAATTTTCGCGGCCGAATTAAAAGTTGGTGATACAGTTTTGGTTCTAAAAGATGAAAACGCGCGAACAATAATTATGGATCGTGTCGAAAAAATTTCTTGGTCCTCGGAAATCGGAGTTTACGCCCCGTTAACGCGAACCGGAACTGTGATTGTAGATGGTGTTGTAGCTTCTTGTTACGCGACTATTGATAGCCAATTTATCGCTCATTTTGTTATGGCACCGATTAGAATGGGTTATAATCTCATGGAAGGATTTTCTAGAATGTGGAAAATCGTTAGTAAACCGATTAATGGATGGAGCGAAGAGAGAAGTATCAAATTGAAAGAGGAACCCGTCGGGGTTTATTGGTACGCTCAAATTTTGTATAAAATTGGAAATTACGTGATTCCCTATAGGATGTATCAGTGAGATTTTAAACAGAAAGTATTAAAGTTTTGAACGTTTTTTGACAACGAGGATATGGTTTTTTAAAAAGGCCAGTGATAAAGTGGATGATTTTTTTTTTAAGTAGGAAATAATAGGAAAATAAAGTGTATATTAACGTGTACTTTAATGTATATAGAATTTTTTTATTTTTATTATTTTTCCTTTTGTATTATAAAACCGTTTTGTAGGCGAGTAATTAAGTTATGTAAATTATTTATGTAATATATCTGAATATAAAATATTTATCGTGATAACTTTATTAATTAAAAATATTTGCCAGTATTTATTTGTTTATTTTTACCTCTCACATAAATAAAAATAAATCTTAATACAATAAAACCTCGATATAACGGACTAATAAGAACTAACACTAGATCTAGAACTAGAAACATTCTGGTTTTGCCATACGTCTCTTAAGATGGCTAAACCCGAATATTTCTAGTTCTAGGTCTAGTGTTAGTTCTACATTTAGTTCAATAAAAAAATACAATAACCTAGCACTGAATAATAATTAAAACTAGAACTAACACTAGACCTAGAAGTAGAAATATTCAGTGCTAGTGTAAAACTAGAACTAACAGTATACTTAGAACTAGAATCATTTAGGTTTAGCCGCACGTCTTTAAGACGGCTAAACCCGAATGATTCTAGTTCTTGGTCTAGTGTTAGTTCTAGCTTTAATTCAATAAAGATATACAACAATCTAGCACTGCATAATAATTAAAACTAGAACTACAGTCCTATCTATACATCATATAAACAACTCGGGGAATACCCCGAGTTAATTTATGAACATAAAATAGAGCAAATTATCAATTATATCGAGATTTTACTGTAATAATAAAATTTCTCATTTTAAAATAAAAAAAGAAGTTTCAAACCGATTAAAGAGATCATTGACTGATAAAACCAAATACAAACATAACACAAAAAAAAGAAGATAACTTCAAGATGTTGTAGTATTTGAAAAACTGTGAATTTTTTACTCTATTGATATCGATGTGTCAGTGACAAGATACGCCCTCATATTTGTTGAGAGATTATCAGCACGGTATGTAACCATCGTTGATATCGACCCATTCTATCAATATTTACATTTTCGTTACAGGACAACGTACATTTTATTATTGTACTCGATGATAGGGAAATCGGTTCAATTTAAACGTAAATATTTACGAAAAGCACGAGACAAAATGCTAATTATGTTATGTAACAAAGTATCGTTAAAAAATACGACGGAAATCGTCCTTCTGAGATAATCGAGTGTTTACAAATAGTATTCAAAAAAATATGTCCGAAAAAAAGTGCTAAGTGCGACTAAGTGTTTCGTAAAAATCTGAAAAGATTTATTTAGAAATCAATAAAAAAATATAATTGCTCATATTTATGAATGAATGTGTAGGAGGTGTGATTAACAAACCATATACATAACAGATGTTCGATGTTATTTCATTTTTGGTTTTTCTTTATATTGACAATTTTTTCGTCTTAGATAACATAACCCATAAAATTTATTTTCCTCTGGTACTTTATGAGTAATAAAAGTTGTTTTCCGTAAAACGATTTTACGTAAGAGATGATTTTCGAATTATTTTAGAGGAAATTATCTATACATAATGATGCAATCTAAACGAAATTAAAATTGAATTTCCCTTTAAAAGGTTTTTTGCGTTTTCACCGATAAACATGTCTAATTAATACAAAGTGCAAATTCTACAGGTAAAGAGAGAAGACTTTTAGAGATCATGCTTGAAAATAACTTGTGGTTATTTATTTTAAATTATTTAAAAAAAGAATATAAAAAATCAAATATAAGATGTTTAGTTAACACCTTTTTAAACAATTTATGTATACAACGATAAACGTTTGAACACGATTTTCTAATTTACGTTTAAGTCACATCATAGTTAAAGACGAGTTAATGTTCTTCCCCTACTCTCGGTTAAGCTCAAAATGATTTATCGCTTCGGTTTCTAATAATAAACGCACGACCGTAGATCATTGTCTCTTAAATGTGTATGTGTGTCCATTGTGGACGTAGTGTTCATGGATATGCATTATGCGTTTCTATATAGCGCGAATTTTTTTATGCACCCACCCAGTGTCTAGCGGACAAATTTGGAGAGAAACTTTTCTCGTCTCTCTTTATTATCAACGGCTTTTAAATAAATTGAGCGCAAGTCGTTATTCGTTTTCAAGTTTCAAATTTCAATTAAAACCCAACAATTTACCACGTCTCACAATTTATTATATCTTGTTAAAGGTATAAAAGATAACAAGATAAATTGTTTCGTCGTTAATTTAATAGGAATTTTGTAATAATATTAAGTTGGAAATGAATCATTGATGTGTTATTAATCGAAAGTGAAGAGAATGATTTAAGATTTCATATTACGTCTTCGTTATGTTTGGTAATAAATAACGTCCTCTGTACTTCCACTTTTCACTCATTAATTCGTAACCGATTCGTTTATTTAAATTCAATTAGCATAAATCTTAAAGGTGTGTTGCCTTTGAATTTCCGTTTCATTGTATTGTACGCCTTCGATTTTGAATTTGTCGCAACAAAACTTTAATTATAGTAAAACCTCGATATAACGAACCTCGGATATAAACGATAAAAAATTTTTAAATGGGCTAAAGACCATCTTTGGTTCATTTTCAAGATGATCCTATCGGTGAGGTGATTGCCATTTAAATAAAACTGAAAGCAAAGAGTGATGATTAAGTAGTTGCTCGCAAAAAGCTACTTAGACTACCTCTTTATGATCGCGAAGTCATATTTTATGAAGCCGAAGTTGTTATTAATATTAAATATTCTAAAAATAATTAACAGAAACTAACACTAGCATTAGAACTGACACTAGACCTAGAACTAGAAACATTCGGGCTTAGCCGTACGTCTCTTAAGACGGCTAAACCCGAATGTATCTAGTTCTAGGTCTAGTATTAGTTCTAGTGCTAGTGTTAGTTTTTTCATATAACGGACACTTCTTTCCCCGTATTGATTCGTAATATCGAGATTTGACTATATAATTAAGTATAAAAATGATCTTTATTAATCAATTTTAACTTATGCAACAACTTTTCTTTTAAACATTACTTTGTTCATCTCTTTCTATCTAACATTATTAAAGTCATCATATTCGCCCGTAAGGAATAAATGTCATTTTACGTAATGCGATTTTCTAGAGACCGCAAAACTGCAACTTACTTAATTGATGCGTTCGCGCAACGCGTTGTCGACGAGAAATCGTCCTCTAATGAACTCGCAACAAATAATAAAATGCACAACGTGCTTACAAAGTCTTCTTAACGATTGATTGATGCCTCCTTAACTTTCGATTTCTGTTGTATGCGGTTATAAAATGTTTTTCTTTTTCAAGTGCGTTGATTGTGGGATGATGTAAGAAATTTACAGTCATTAGAGCTTTGAATGGATTTCAATGAGTTTGATGACCTAAATAATAATTTAAACTTTTCATTCTCCTTTTATTATTTAAATATTTATTTTTATACCTTTAACGCATTGTTGCACTAAATTAAATTTAGGAAAATACCCGCCCAAATACGTCGACCGACGCTGGGCGTCGCGATGCATTTAGTTTGAGTACGAAACTCGACCTGTGCACACCACAGGATTATTTCCCCGTCTTAAATGTTCCATATTTTTTTTTTAAACAAATAAATGTAGGAGTCTCTCGAAATAAACGTAAGTTGGAATAAATTTTTGATTTATAAACATAAAAATTTTAATATTTTTTTTACCATTCAAATTTTAAGGTTTATTTTTCAATTTTACTGTGTTGTTTGACTTTCCGCTAATTGATTTTCAAACGAGGCGGGTTTATTTATACAGGATCACATCGAATTTGTTTACCTTTGTTTTACTGCGTAAAATCTAATTTTATCAAGTCGATAAACCCACTTCTTTTACATTTTTTCGAAAACTTTAATTGAATTCCTTAACAATAAATACATTATCCCCACAACATAGTTAATATCAAACTTGGCGCAACCCGAAACTTGAACAATCGCGTTGATTAAGTTGGAAATTCGCTGCCGGAATAATAAACCAAACTTAAATCGAATAAATAACGATAAATCGAATTCGAATCTAACAAGAAAAAGAAAATTGGAACTTTTCCTTTGGGATTTCTCTTTGTGGTTTTATTGAGGGTAAAACAAACTGACATAAATCTACCCGTTTTATTTGCAATTTTACTCCAACCACGTACGATATACTCAGAAAGAATAAAACAAGATTTACTTCGGGGATTTTGAGCTTTAAACGATAAGAGTCACTGAAATAAGAATTTAACGTTAATTTAACGTGATATATGCAACCAAAAGAGCATTTATTTCTATATAACGTGAAAAGCCTTAATAAAAATGATAAAAACGTTTGAAAACTTACCATTAGTTTATGAGGTTATGTAAAACGTAATTATGACAGATCATCACCAATATTCCGAATTAACCTAAATAAAACTTACATAATTATTCACACGTTATCGTAAGATATATTTTATTATTTTCACTTACCTCAAAAGCGTAAAAAGTGAATTAAACCAACTTAAATCAGGCGAATTGTCGAAAACCTAACTCAAAAATTTGACAGTTCAATTAAACGTCACTACTGATTAGTCAAATCAGCAACTTGACTTATTAAACGTCAAAACAAAGAATAAATACATTTTTATTCATATATTAATTATTATTTCTCACAATAACTCTTTAACAATACAATTCTAATCAGTGAGTGCGTCGAATTACCAATATACATACCACATACCTTTTCTCTAATACAAATGAGAAATCGTTCAATTTAGTTCTGGGTCGTGTTAAACCGAAGGGTTATGTAGCACTATTAATTATACCTTTGTAATTTGGTTATTCAATATGTTTGGATTAATGTTTATTCAATAAGGTTGTTTATTTCTTTTTCAGGTCTGTTATTTTTAAGTACTATGGACAACGTAATGTTATTCGGCGTAAACCTCGGAGTAATCGTTGTCAATACAATTATAGTTTTAATGCTAATTATTTCCATTGGTTACTACTTGTACGTGTTTCGACAAGTTTGTTGCAATTCAAAGAAATACAACAATAAATTATATCAATTATCCGGTGATTCTCTTCCATTAACGAACGTTACGCACACATCAAGTCAACAACAAACCGAAATAGAAAGGATTTATTAATTTATTAAAGAAAATTGATGTTTTATATTACATAAATGTGTATAAATTGATAGTAATTTAAAAATAAATGTACTAACTTCATATTGAACAAAGTTGACATTTCCAACCTACACCTGTCTTCACACCGTATAATTGGCGCCTATTTGTCAAAGATCGGTTATAAATTGTTCGTTTATCTCTAAAAGAATGTCAGATTTTCTTAAAAAATGCGAAGAATACTTCTCCACGAAGTGTTTCTACGAGATCCTTCGCATAGAAAAAGACGCCAACCAACAAGACAGTAAGAAAATTGAAAAATTTTATTTTAACCTAACTTTTAAAAACATAACCCTACTTTTTTTTTTAGTAAAAAAAGCTTATCACAGGCTTTCATTGCTCGTTCACCCCGACAGAGTTGAACCATCAAACAAAGAAATTGCCACCGAAAAATTTAAAGTTTTAGGTAAAATTTATTCGATTTTACAAGATGATGATCGAAGAAAGTGTTATGACGATAATGGAGAATTTGATGATGAATTCGATAGCGATAGTTCTAATTGGATGGATTATTGGCGTGCTATGTTCAAACCTATAAAAACTGAGGATATTGATGCTTACAAAAAAGAATACATTGGATCTGAAAATGAACTTAGAGATATCAAGAAATCATATGTTAATAGCGAAGGAAATATGGATTTCATTTTGGAGTCGGTTATGTTTGCTGATTGCTCTAGCGAACCAAGAATTATTGAAATCGTTAGAAAACTAGTTGATGATGGAGAAGTTGAGGAATATAAACAGTTTTTTAATGAGCCCAAAAGGAAAAGGGATCGAAGACACAAAAAATGGGAAGATGAAAAGAAGGAATTTGAAAAACTTAATATTTCAAGTAAATTATTTTTGTTTTGAAGCCTTCAACAATTAATTCTTTTATTTTTTAGTTGAACAAGTTGAGGAAGAATTAAAAAGAAACTCTGAAAGACGTGCCAGGGAATTTAGTTCTTTAATAAGCGATTTAGAAAAAAAATACAGTAAACCGGCAAAAAGGAAGGCTCTTAGAGGTGGTAGCCCCGTTAAAAAAAAAAAAAATTCAAAGAAAATCTAATGGAAAAAGAAAGTAAATTATAATTTAGGTTTATTTATATTTAAACAAGCGTAATGTAACTTTAATTTTGATACTCTCAATACATGATTAATCATTAAGCCTTATTTTTAATTTTAAGATTTAAATAAATCAATTTGGATCATATTTAGGAATTTTGAATATGTAAAATTAAAAATAGGTGAATTAAAATTTGTATTGGATTTATTTCTCAATAAAAAAATCGTAAGATTTAGAAATGTTTTAATAATAAATACCAAAAAAATTAAGGTATCAAGATTTTTATATTTTTAATTGAGACACAATATTCAAATTAACTGCTATTCCCTATGCACTAAAACATAGAAACCGAGACAGGCCAACACAGCAAGCTAAAATAAAAATAATTTTATTAAAAACATCTTCAAAAATTAAAAATTACCTTAAACTTAGGATATTCGTTCATTAAAATAGTAACCATTCCCACGTAAGGTAAAAACCCTCTCGCTCGACCCACAACATCTTTTTTAGTTAACCAGAGTTGACCAGGTGCGTATAACCCTCTATCATCAACACTGTTATTATCACCTTTTGTTAAAAATTTAACAGTTCCATTTTCTCTGCAAACAAATAATGATAAAATCCTTAAATAAATTAATTAAGTAACAATTACTTTTCATGTAACTTTAAAACTCTATGCACAATCGGAATATCTCTTCCTTCCACTTTAAACACTACAATTTCACCAACTCGCACAGGTTCATCTTGGTAATTTGTTAAAAACAATAAATCGCCTCTATGAAAAGCTGGCTCCATACTACCAGATAAAACCACTACAATAGGGCTTTCACTACCAGTTACAACCATTAAACCTTTCCATATCATTAAAGCAGACGAAACTATCATACCAAAACTTAAAACTTGATAAAGAAACTAAAACAGAAAGTGGGTGAATAGAATAAGGTTTTTGTGCAACCCCAAAATTCTTACTTGACGCTTATTCATACGTTTTACATCATCAAACATTGAAGAAAGATCCATTTTCACGTTGTTTTTAGAATTAACGAAATTTTAACCACGTCAGTTCGAGTTGAGCCGCAAAAGAAACCAAGTTTTGACAGATTATTTGACAGCTAATTAATGAACGTAACCTCATTTGTCGTAAATAAAAGTTTATAATGAAATGATTTAACTGAAATTAATTAAATTTATCAATAATGATTACATAACAAGAATTTCTTTAATATGCATTTAATTTTTAATCTTAAGAGTTTTATGAACGTATCTTAATTCTTAAAAAAGTTAGGCAACCAAATTTACAACAAAATAAAATATACTCTATTAATTTTTGAAATACAAAAAATCAATTTTCTAAATCACATCGTGTTGACCACAATCACTAAATATAGCGGAAGATTGTGATTGCAAAGAATTTTCTTGGTTCCAATTAGGAATAGTTTCTTGACAATGTGTGGATAATACATTAAACATATCATTCATATCATTATATAATTTTGTACTGATCATTTCTAGCTGAATACTGCTAGATTCCTTTAATTTCAAATCGCTCTCGGTGGATGAGTTAAGATCATCTTTGCTCGATTTACAAGATAAGTGATCTCCAGATTGATCAATAAAACTGTTGACAGAATTATCCATGTGCCATTCCGATATCATCATTTGAAGAGGTTCCAAGAATTTAACGTTCTGTTTTACCCTCATTAATTCCATATTACACATACTTTCTACCTCTAAAAGCCTTCGTTTGTAGTTGGTTATTGCTAATTGACGTTGAAGTTGAGCTTTAGTTTCTTGATGAAGTTGACTGATGTCACAAGTCATTCCTACATGAGAATATCTACAATTATTTTCGGCATTTAAACGTTCAAGTTCTCTAGTCCATGATTCTTTCTCTTCTCTCAATTGCTTTTTTAAATCATACAAAGTTGTTCTAAGTTGAATTATTCTATCACGTAAATCTTGGTTGTATGTCAAGAACGATTCGTCATCGTCGATGTCATCAACGTAATCGTCACTTTCTTCTGAAATATTTTCCTCGGCGTTTGATGTTACTGTTTCATTGGTTTCTTCATTAAAATTTTGTTCATAAGTTTCAGGATATTCACAAACTTCCATTATTTTTTATTTTAGCTCAGTTTTGTCTTTAAATTTCAAACTTTCCGCTTTTTTCTTTTAAATGTCATACGCATGCGCGTTGGCATACACACATTTGTTTTCGCGTGGTTGCCAACCTTTGTTTCTTTTCCGTTTCCCGTAATCTATCAAGATGAAGTAAGTTAGTTTTAATTTGTTTAATCTTAGTTTTTCTTGACCATCTTTAAACATTTTTGTTAAATAACGATATTATACACTAATATTTATCGTTTTAACGTGTTCGTTATGTTTCTTTTAGGATCGGACTCTGTGTTTATAGCGGATACAAAATACATCCAGGCCATGGTAAAACCATGGTTAAAGCCGATGGAAAGGTAAATAAGTTTTCATTAACTTTGTAATGAATCGTTTCATTACTTTATTAAAAAAGTCTATCGAAAAAACCGCTAAAAATAAGTTAATCTTGAAATAACATAACCTCCAAATAACATAACCTCACTTTGTTTTTTCTTAATTTCCAGACGTTTACTTTCTTAAATTCAAAGTGCGAGGCCGCTCATTTAATGAAAAGGAATCCTCGTAAAGTAACGTGGACTGTATTTTACAGGTAAATAAAATAACCATCACTAAAATGACAACCTAACCTCACTTTTATTTTAGACGAAAACATAAGAAAGGTCAAGAAGAAGAAGCAACGAAGAAGCGCACACGTAGAACGCAAAAATTCCAACGTGCTATTGTTGGGGCTTCTCTCAATGATATTTTGGCTAAACGTAATCAAAGGCCCGAAGTAAGGAAAGCTCAACGAGAACAAGCGATTAGGTAATTTGGATTAGAAATGTTTATGAGGTGATTTATGTGTTTCTTTTAATTGTTAGAGCTGCAAAAGAAGCTAAAAAGGCTACGAAGGTTCAAAAGAAAGCTACTGCAGCGCCAAAAGCTAAAGCTGCACCTAAAATCAAAGCAAGTAAAAATGTGCAAAAAGCTGCACCTAGAGTTGGTGGTAAACGTTAAGTTGAATGTATGATTAAATAACTTAATAAAAAAAATCAGATTAATATGTTTTATTTATTTTAATATGGTGAATGTTAGGCAACATCCCTTACTCATTATCCTAACCCCCAAGTAGAGGGATTCACAACTTGATAATTCTTCTATAAAGCAAGATATACCATTTTCTAGATAAAAATTGTATTATAATCCTATATAAATATTTTATACAGAGTTCTGAATTAAAACTAACCCTATTAAATTCATTTTCTATGGTTACTTCATCAAAATAAATCCATTTTTATATTTTACGCTTTTTGAGATTTGTAGAATATACCAAATATATTTAAATTAACTAAGAAGACGATGGTTTTGATAGGAAAATGTGAAGAGATGTGCTCGGAAGCCGAAAAGAAATTGTATTTAAGAATAAGTGAGGTTATGTTATTCAATGTTTTGTATCAAAACTTGTTTTAGGAGATATAAGGAGGGTTTGTTACATATTTTAGAGATAAAAAAGGGGACTGAGAAAAATCCTCGTCCCCTACCCGATCCAAAAAGGGTGGTGAAATGTTTTAGTAGGTCGGCAGCTGGTCGTGAATCTAATGAGAATGAGCTCCGTACCCCAAACGCTTTACAAAGGACTGTTAATTATTTATTACTTGAGTAAATAAGGATGAAGAAATTTAATTTTGTTCTATATTTTCTTTTATTTTAGTGTAGCTGACAACCAAATTATTTCTTGGAATAACACTTATGACTTTATCGTTGATAGGTTATTAGCTGTTAGACAAGATATTGTTATCCAAGATATTTCTAGGTCTTATACTATTAGTTTATTACAACCAATTGTTAAGTTTTATGCTTATTCAGCTTATAGGTAAGATTTAATTATTATGTTTTTAATTATTTCGTTTATTAATTAATTTTATAGACTATGTGAGTCACCAATATCTGATTTTGACCCAGTTTTAAATAAAAAAAATCTTCAGGAATGCCTCAAAAAACTTCTTTTAATATACGACGATTTTGATTATTTACAATCAAAAATTGGGGTTTTAAAAGATTTTTGTTACAATCAAGAAGAATTTGAGATTTTATTCAGTGATTGTAGACAATTTTTTGAGGCTCTTTATATTTTATTTAATCTAGGGGACACTCATTGTATCTATAGAGGATTGAAACTTGAAAAGAAGTGGAGGTAAAATCGTGATTTTGTTATATAATTGCTTCAAAAAAATGATTTTTAGAACAAATCTTGTTCAAAATTCTATAAAAATGTCTTTATGTTACAAAAATGGTAATTGGATTCGACTTTGTCGAATGATGGTTAAACTTCCACCTTTATTAGCAGGGATCGCCTCTTTACATTTACCAGAAATACGACGGTAATTATTTTTAAATTGAATTAATTCATTTTAATTTCGTGGTTTTAGGAAAACTTTAGAAAAAATGTCGATTGCTTTTTCAAGCAAAAATCTTTCATATCCCATTGAAACTTTACAAAAAGAACTACTTTATGGGACCAAAAATGAGTTAATATTCGACTGTGATCGTTATGGAATAAAATGTTCCCAAAGTGAAATAAACTTTATTAAAACGGATTTTGATAAATTCTCAAAATTAGTTTCTACTAGAAAGGAAAAATTTGTTATTGATAAATTTATAGATGTAAAACCATCCTTTGTATTAAAATCGAATACTTTTTAATTTAAGTAAATGAGAAAAAGAGATTAAGACATGATTTTTTTATTATAACCAAAATACAACAGATAATTTAAAAGTTGTGATTTCAAAGTGTTTTCTTTTTTAACCACCACCACTTGTCGCAATTCCTATAAATTTATGCAAGATGTAAGAAGCCAAAGAGAGGACAGGCATTACTATTAGGCCAAAAATGAACATCACTAAAAGAGTTAAAACAACCAATTCGCCCAAGAACAGAATCCCCTTTAAAATTTTTTCAGCTATATCTCTTGTTTGGCAAATTTCCAACAATTTATCCAAAATAAACCGGAGTAGATACACACCTCCATCTAAAAGAGGGAATAGATTGTATAGCATCAATAAGATTGTTACTCCAGCAGCATAAGCTCTTTGAATTAGTGATGTTAACAAACTTATAAAGGAACATCTCCTAAAAAAATTATGACAGAAAATAATATAATAATATTGGTTAAACATTTTACGCATTTTTTGGTAAACCATGTTTTTCTAAATAATCAGCAACCGGTTCTCGAACTCTGATGATAAGTCGTAAAAATCGGCCTTGTTCTGGACCTCCTTTAGCTCCGCAATATCCGGCGGGAAGAGGTGCTGGTGCAGCAGAGGCTCCACCATTAGCTCCACCATTAGCTCCACCATTAACTCCACCATTAGCCCCACCGTTTGCACCACTACCAGCAGCTCCTCTAGTTCCACATAAGGGATCAGGTCCTTTATGGATCCCATTTAAAAATGAAGTTGTTTCATTAAGTCTATAATTATTTAAAAATCGTTACCTTCCATTTTGAATTTTTTTGGAAATCTGTAAAAAGTAAACTGTCCCAAATCGGGAGAAAATATCCCCAATTGTTGGGTCAACAAAGATTTTCTATTTTTTGTACCAAATTTAAGGAATGGGGTTGGTTTTATGAAATGATCATGTCAATATGACACTGTTGATATATGTACATAGTCTACTATACAAATATATTTAAATTAATTATAAAAACTTTTTTTTTTTAATTTTGGTGATTTTCGAAATCGAGAAAAATGTTGAGTATTAAGAAGAATTTAAAGTTTATAAAATCATAAATAGATTTTAAATTATTTTTAATTTATTTGACACTATAAATGAATAATTTATAAAATTTGACAGTTTTTCCTCAAATTCAAATTTTCATTAATAGATGGCGCTAATTGAAAATGTCAAAATAAAATTGGTTTTGAATTTTTAATGAAAACTAGTAAATTCATTAATTAATATTTTTAATAATAAACAGTTAATTGTTACAAATCCTTTTTTTTTAATACTTACCCATTATCGCGTCGTAATTTGCAGTAAAAAACTGGGACTGTTTCAACAACCGTTGAAGTCATATTTTCTTGATTAAATACAAGCTTCCCAATTACAGCAATTATAAATTTCCTCGTTTGAAATCCCAGCAAAAAAAAACTGAAATAAATTCACCTCTTCAAAATAAAATATACCAAGTTGTAGAGAACAGAAGATTAATAATAAAAATTCAATTTACTTCACTTTTCAAGTGTTTTTAATAAGTTTGCTTTGATGATTTTATTTCATTTTTATTTTTTGGAATAATTCAAGAATAACAGTGTGGTTGTATTTATGTCTAAACTTTTCTTGTCCCTTTCTGCTTACTAATTAGCTTTAGGATTGGTTAATTTTATGGTTTTATTATTTGATTTCAGAAAGCAAAGCTAAAGAAGCTGATAGCTTCTTATAATAATTAAATCTTTTCTTCATTATTGTACACAAAACCCGAAAATACCCGATTTTGAGAGAATCTACAGATCGATAAAGCTCGTTTATAAAAATCAGGTCAACAACAGTTTGAGTCAACGTATTGTCTATTATCGAAAATGTCAGAAAAAATGAAGTTTTCTGGAAAAGTGGTGTTAATAACCGGTGCTAGTTCGGGAATAGGAGCAGCTACTGCAATCCATTTTTCAAAACTCGGCGCTGATTTGGTTTTAACCGGAAGAAATAAAGAAAATCTTCTTTTAGTGGCCGATCAATGTGTGGGACCAAAACCTTTTCTCATCCAAACCGATATCACCAAAGAAACCGGCGTCAAAGATATTATTTATAATACTATCGATCATTTTGGAAAATTAGATATTTTAATTAACAACGCGGGAATAATCGAATCCGGAGGCATAGAAGAAACCAGCTTGGAACAGTATGATCGAATTTTTACTGTAAATGTTCGCTCAATGTACCAATTAACCATGTTAGCGGTACCTCACATCATTAAAACACAAGGAAACATCGTTAATGTTTCCAGTGTAACTGGAATGAGAGCTTTTCCAAATTTATTAAGTTATTGTATGTCCAAAGCTGCGGTTAATCAATTTACTGAGTGTGTAGCTTTAGATTTAGCTTCAAAAGGAGTTCGCGTCAACGCTGTTAATCCTGGAGTTATAGTTACACAATTACATAAAAGAGGTGGAATGACTGAGGAGCAATATCAAGAATTTTTAAATAGCTGTAAAAAATCGCACGCTTTAGGTCGACCTGGAACTGTAGATGAAGTTGCTAAGGCAATAACTTTCATTGCTAGTGATGATGCCACTTTTATGACCGGAAATATTGTACCAGTTGATGGTGGAAAACATTCCATGTGTCCAAGATAATTTTTTAAGAGATATTTTTGTATTTAAAACTGAAAAATAAATTAATTTTTATTTGAATTTTATCTCTTTATTAAAACATAACCTCTTTAGACCTGACCGGATAGGCAACCACACACACATAACCTCTTTTTATTAGACAAAAATAAATAAATTTAAAATATAAAAACTTTTATTTGCAATAAAATACAATTTTAACGAGGACACATAGCATGACGTCCACCATCAACAGGAATACTAGCACCAGTTATAAAACTAGCATCTTCGCTAGCTAAAAATGCAATCGTTTTAGCAACTTCTGAGGCATCTCCAGGTCTTCCCATTGCATGAGTTTCTTTGCTTCTGTTTAGAAATTGTTGATACTGTTCGTCGTTCATCCCTCCTCTTTTATGGAGGTTAGTAACGGTAACACCTGGATTAACGCTGTTAACTCGAACTTGTTTCGAAGCCAAATCCAAAGCTGTGCATCTTGTAAATTGATCAACCGCAGCTTTTGACATGCAATAAGCTAAGACACCAGGAAAAGATCGGATTCCATTAACGCTCGAAACGTTAACAACATTTCCTTTCGATTTTATGAGATGAGGAACTGCTAAAGATGTTAAATGGTAAATGCAACGGACGTTGATGTTCATCATTCTATCGAATTGATCTAAAGATGTGTTTTCAATACTTCCGGTCTCGATAACACCAGCATTATTAACTAATACATCCAACTTTCCATAATGTTTAATCGTTGCTTCTAAAATATTTTTAGTATCATTTTCGTTGGTTAATTCACCAGTTACTATAAAAGGAGTTGGAGTTCCACTTGGTCCTTTACATTCCGAAGCGATTTTATTAAGATTTTCAACATTTCTTCCTGTTAAAGCTAAACTTGCACCAAGACTTCCCAGATATTTTGCCGTTGCTGCACCAATTCCAGAACTTGCACCTGTTATTAAAACCACTTTCCCGGCAAATTGCATGTTTTTTATATGAATTAAATGTTTTTGGTAGTGTTTTCAACAAAATTCTGTGGAAGAATGTTTTTTTTAATCTTTGGTCAGGTACAAATATATTTTTTAGTGCGGTCAAAGATAAGGAATTTTCAAGTTATTTTTGTAGCGGTTGGAATGAACTGCTGAGACGTGCTTGTGAGGAAATGTAAAGGTTTGTTGAAGGTCGAAATATATTAAATACAGTGTAAAAGAAGTTGCATACAATAACTTAGGTTATGTTTAAAAAAGTTTTATTTATTTTTTAGCAACGTTTTGATATTTTTATTCCAGATTCGGTCTTGGAGTTACTAAATTTCTTCCACCATCGATTGGTAAAAGATGTCCGGTAATAAAAGAGGAATTTTCATTTGCTAAATATAAAACAGCTTCAACAACGTCATTGATTGTTCCATTTCTACCTAAAGGAACAACAGTTTTATAGGCTGATTCAATTTTGGTACGAAAACTTTCATCTGGGAGTGGTAATGATCTCATTATATTTGTGGGAATGTATCCGGGGTTAACAGAATTGACTCTAACTCCTTTTTGGGCTAATTCTAGAGCTGTACATTTTGTGAATTGGTCTAAAGCTGCTTTAGACATGTTATAACTTAATGATCCACTGTAAGATTTCATTCCAGCTAAGCTAGAAACGTTTACAATGTTTCCTAAAAGAAAGTAAATTGTTAGATACAAAAATATTAACTAGGTTAAATTCACCTTTGGTTTGAATTAAATATGGAGCAACCAATTTACTCAAAAACACAACTGCTCTTACATTCGTGTTAAATACATCATCATAATTATCAGCTGTGATTTGTTCCAACGATTGAGTTTTTAATATGCCAGCATTATTAATTAAAATGTCTATCTTTCCAAAAGCATTAATAGTTGAATTTACAATATCTTTTAAATGTTCATCATTAGTAACATCACCAATAACCATAATAGGTTTATTTCCACCAATTTCTACACATTTTCTGGCGGTTTTTTCTAAATTTGTAATGTTTCGACCGGTTATACACACATTCGCTTGCTCTTTTGCAAATCTTATAGCTAAACCTTCACCAATTCCCGAACTAGCCCCGGTTATTATAACAACTTTGTTAGAAAACATTTTGGTTTAAACGTTACGTTAATAATAAATGCTTTCGTTTAGTTTTATCAACTTTTATAAGAGTTATCAAATAAAAAATAATATCTCAATGTAATCTATTTTATTTTTCATAATCATAATTACACTGCAAATATTTGATGAAACCTATTTGAATGATTTATAATCGATTATTTATTACATTCTTGAAGTTATAGCTTAGGTCAAGGTTTATGTATCTTTTTTGAGTTCTAAATAGGTCTCAATAAGTTTCGCCTGCGAAAAAACGAAATATGTTGGATTTAGGACAGCTTTACCAGAAGGGCAAAGTATTTTAAAGATAGATATTTAATGAAAATGACCAAAATTGTTAATAAAGTGTAAAAGAAGTTGCATACCTACAAGTTAAATTTTTAAACGCTAATTTAGGTAAGTTTTAATTAATTATTTTTTGTACTGGATTAGTTACAATAAGGTTATTTATATATTTTCATTCCAGATTTACTCCATTAAATAAATTTCTTCCACCATCAATTGGTAAAAGATGTCCAGTAATAAAAGAGGAATTTTCATTTGCTAAATATAAAACAGCTTCAACAACGTCATTAATTGCTGCATTTCTACCTAGAGGAACAGCAGTCTTATAGCTTGTTTCAATTTGCGTACGAACACTCTCCTCTTGCAATGATCTCATTATATTTGTAGGAATGTATCCAGGGTTAACAGAATTGACTCTAACTCCTTTTTGGGCTAATTCTAAAGCTGTACATTTTGTAAATTGATCTAAAGCTGCTTTAGACATGTTATAACTTAATGATCCACCGTAAGATTTTATTCCAGCTATGCTAGAAACATTTACAATGTTTCCTAAAAGAAAACAAATTGTTAGATACAAAAATATTAGCAAGGTTAAATTCACCTTTGGTTTGAATTAAATGTGGAACAATCAATTTACTCAAAAACACAAATGCAAATTGAAAGAAGGATAAATTAGTAAAAAATAGACACTATTAGTCATAACAAGATTAATAAATGTATAAAAAAGAATTTTTAATATCTCAGTTCTTATAATACATTAATAACTAAATTAAATTTAATGAGCAGATAAACTAGTATTTTCTTTGGATGATGATGATGATGATGGGCTGAGTAAAACTTTTAAAATTTGAACGATTGGAGCTTCATAAGCCACGGAAATTAAGAATGACACCATGAAGGATGTTACTAAGTTTCCTAAGAATGTTACAAACTGAAATAAAAAAATAAAAAAGTTATTGTACAAAAAGAGGTGTAAATATGTTATCTTACGATCATAATGTTGTGTATATGTATTGGTCCATCCATTTTAAAACTAACAAAAACCATAATAACTGGATGAATTAAATAAGCACAATAAGTGAGTCTACTCAGTGGTAGAAATCCCCTAAAATTTAATATAGAGCTTATTGGACCTGCATAACCCCAACAACAAGCTATCGTTATCCAAGCAAGTGATAATCCCCACGCTGTGTGTCCAAAAGCGGCCTAAAATGTTGTTGTTTTTAAAATGAATTAATTTTAAAAGCAATTTCAAATACATAAACTGCCGATAAAGGTGTTGTTAAACCTTTACTTCCCAATCCATAAACTAAACTTAGAATGATCGCCAAAGAAACAATCCAAGCTGCAGTTGATAAATAAAAAGAAACGTTTAATTTTCCATTCGTTTTAAACAAGAAATATCCGGTTATCATTCCGATTAAATACGGCCCAATTCTTAACCAAGGTTTATCGTAAAGTTGATCAAAAAGAGCAAACGGTTCTTCAACTCTCGCTATATAATTATATTGCATAGCAATAATAAACGTCGCTATCCAGGAAGTTATTAGGAATGTTATAATTATTCCTGATACCCATTTAAACGTTTTACTTCTATCAATCAAAAAAAAAAACAAATTAATTATTCAATTAAAAAGATTCAAAGATTTTTTACCTTATAGCAAATGGCAAAAGTAAAATAGCTAATAGATAAAATTGCGTATCATTAGCAATGTACCAAGACCAAAGCATACAAAATTCGGATTGTGGAAAAAAGTTATTAATATACAAAGCATTTCGCCACCAATAACTTCCACAAGTAAAATGATCGATCATTGCTGGTGAAAAAACGGAATTATTATGTGAATATTTTAATACTAATTCGTTTACGCCCAAAACAAAAAGATAAGCCGGAGTTAATCGTAAAAATCGATAAAGAACCATCATTAAGAACTTTGTAAATTCCCCCAAAAACAAGTTGTCTTTAGATTTTTTTTCTTCGGTTTTTTTCTTCGTTTGACGAAAATATAAGATTGTTACTAAAAGGCCGCTTATAAAAAAGAAAGTGTCGACGGAAAACGTTGCGTTCGATATCGTTTGGTATAAAAAAGATCGTTCGGTTACAGTTCTAAACGTTTTATTTTCAGCTATCGCGAAAACTTCTAAATAAGTATGAACTAAAATTATCCAGGCGATTGAAAAAAATCGTAAACCGTGGATACATTTTATACTTTCGTCTGTTAAACGATCGACGCTCAATATTCTTCGCGAGTTCTCTCTAAATCCAAAACATAATAAAAGTTTTATTAAGAAATCTACAACAAAAAAATATTAATTTAATATTTATAATTATATTTATTTCATTACTTGTTTTAAGTTCTTGGTTGGAATTTTTGTTAACTCCTTTTCCATTTTCTAAATTGTTGTTACTTTCGTGATTCTGTTTTCTTTGAATATGAACAATTTCGACGATTGTCGCTGTTATAATAAGAGCTATAATTACCGTAGAGATTCCACTACAAAAATAAAATGACATATATATAATAAATATAACATTATCCTTCAATTAAGATATTAATTACAAGAAGTGAAATTTATTCCACCGATTATATTGTGAAATATCTTGCATAATACCGATTTGCAAACTAGCTTGTGTGCAATGTTGTTCAATGCGCACGAAATTCTTACTTTCAAATAAACCGTTTCCTTTTATTATTGCTAAAATAATTTTTATTTAACAACTTTTCCGTTTTAAAATAGGTCAAAAAAATTAAAACAATTCTTTTTTTAATTAAAGAAAAAAACTTATTACGTAAATCAACGTAAATACAGCTTAAGTAGTTCATATAGGAAGTGAAAATTTGGGTCAAGAAGAAAAGTAACGATTTATTAAAAGTTAAATTACATAAGATTTTTACCTGAGTATGTAGAACGTAACATCTGTCAAAACTGAGTAATCTCCAGGTACTGGCCTAACATCCACAACACTTAAAGATGTGGCTCGAGATTTTTCTTGGATTAATAATGATCGAACGTCGCTGGTTTTACACGATTTTGGTAAACATTGACCAATATTTAATTGTCTTGTCTAAAATACGACATAAATAAATTGAAATTAAAAAATTCTTTTTCGTTCAATTACCACTGGTGTTAATTCTTCGTTTATATTAATTCTCACTTTGATAACGTAAAAAGTTAATTCAAACGGGGATACGTCGCTATATGTAGCGTTTATTGTTAAATCCCAACAAGAAGTGCTTGAACCCATCCAAAAATCATTCCCGAAGAAAAATTGGCTGTTATAACGTCCAGATGAATCAAACACTAAAAAATTTAATGAGAAAATTCAAAAATATGCATTAAAAATGGAGTTCAATATTAATAAGTAAATACTTTAATTGATAATTGGTGAAAATTTCGTTTTCTCATAAATCATAAAACTCCATCAAAAAAAATTCTAGAAATTTCGATTCAGTTTAAAAATGTGTATCTCAAAATCTAAAAGTGATTTTACAAAACGGATTTCACCATTAAAAAGAACATGCTTCAATTAATAATTTATGAAAAGTTTGTATATATATCCTGATAAATCGATTTTTTGTAAATTTTTAAACTCAACCTAAGAAAAGTTAAATTTAGTAAAAATTTCGATTCAGTTCAAAAACTTATATCTCAAGAACAACAAATGATTTTGTAAAACGGACTTCACCAATGAAAAATATACGGTTTAATTAATAATTGGTGAAAATTTCATAAATATTTTCCGGGAAATCGTTTCTTACAAATCATAAAACTCCATCAAAAAATCCAAGATTTCTCTAGAAATTTCGATTCAGTTTAAAGATGTGTATCTCAAAAACTAAACGAGATTTTTAAAAACGAATTTCACCATTAAAAAGAACATGCTTTAATTAATAATTTATCGAAATTTTGTAAATATATCCTGATAAATCGATTTTTTGTAAATTTTTAAACTCAACCTAAGAAAAGTTAAATTTAGTAAAAATTTCGATTTAGTTATAAAATTTATATCTCAAGAACAACAAATGATTTTGTAAAACGGACTTCACCAATGAAAAATATACGGTTTAATTAATAATTGGTGAAAATTTCATAAATATTTTCCGGGAAATCGTTTCTTACAAATCATAAAACTCCATCAAAAAATCCAAGATTTCTCTAGAAATTTCGATTCAGTTTAAAGATGTGTATCTCAAAAACTAAAAGTGATTTTACAAAAAGGACTTCACCATTAAAAAGAACGTGCTTTAATTAATAATTTATCAAAATTTTGTAAATATATCCTGATAAATCGATTTTTTGTAAATTTTTAAACTCAACCTAAGAAAAGTTAAATTTAGTAGCAATTTCGATTGAGTTCAGAAATCTCAAGAACTAAATGTGAAGATTCGAAACAGACTTCACCATCAAAAAGTACATACTTTAATTCACAATTGGTGAAAATTTCATAAATATTTTCCATAAAATCGATTTCCTACAATTTTTGTAACTTAATCCAAGAAATTTAGACATTCAAAAAATTCGATTCAGGTCAAAAACTACAAGTCATCATGGAATTTTCAAAAATGTACTAACTTCATCTTTATAAATAACATTAACTGCATGTTATTGTGACCTCAATCGTGGTCACACTTTCTCGTACTGACTGCATGAACACATTGCACAGTTCAAGTCAATCTAATGAACTACCAAGTTGTTCATGGAAGAAGTAATTATTTACAGGGCTTAGAAAAGGAAGCAACTATCATAATGATATAAATCTGGAATGATAAGTAACTTTATCAACGATTTTTCATTCCAAGAAGCCAGGCTGGGAAAGAATTATTTGCAAGAGATCTCAAAAGAAGAAAAAATGACACAAAATATTGTTTTTAGCTGATACAAGTATTTTTTTATTATAAAATTTTAACACATCGTCATCTGAACGAGTTTTGTAACACACGACATTATCGAGTTTCTTAGTGAAAGTGTTTTCTTACTCTTGGCAGCCCAGGAAGTGCCGTTCTTCAATGCCTCTAGGTAAATCCCCATGTCCTTTTGGCAGAGAGGATCCGAAAGAAGCTTTACTCTGTCCCCCCAATAATGATGATCGTACAATCGATCAAACCATTCCATTTCTGAAAGATTTTCGATTTCTCTTAAATCAACGGTTGGTACTTCGGTGGCTTCCGGTGCGGGAAATTGTATTCCGTTTGAAAGATAAGATAAATCCGACGAATTATATGAAACATATTTTGGTGTACTCGATAATGATGTTTCTACTGGGGATATAAATTTTAAATTCACTAGTAATGAGAAACATGTTAAAAGAATATTCGATTTTGTCACTTTCATTTTTGCGGTTTAATTAAATAAAAAAGTTTAAAATAACTATTTTTTTAGCAAAAATTATTTTTATGTTGTGTATTGCTTTAAAATCACTTCAATCATTTTTTCAAAAACCATAAATACACTGTAAATATAAAACAGGGCACGTTCTCCACTTTCAACTTGGTCAACGTTCGAATCGCGAATCTTTTCTCAATCATTTCTTGGGAGTTTGACCAAGGAGAAGCTTTCCCACCACATGATCTTGTTCAGTTGCGTGGTGGTAAAACCTAAGAATTAAAACTCAAACTCGATGTTTTGAATGTATTGTGTTTATTTTATTCTTTTTTTTTGTGGTGGAGAAAAAATGTGGAGGAAGAGAAAATCCTTACTATGTAGGATTATACAAGAGATTTCTATTTTTAAGGATTTTTCATATAACTCAAAATTTTGTGATATAAATTATTAATTAAAGTGTTACAACGAAGATAATTTGATTAAATTGGATCAAATTATTTTTTTAAATAGGGTTTTATCTTAAATAAAAGAATTGCGTAATATATTACGTTAACTCTCCTTAGAAATTATCGTCTCGGTAAACTTTCTTCTCTTCCTCTCCGGCGGTGTTCTCGTGTCGAGGACGTGTAACAGGTCCCCATAGAAAGTGAAATTGGGTACCTACCTAGTTGACATTTTCTTCTACAGGTCACCAAACAACAGCTATTTCTGTATTACTTAATACTTAAGATTTCAAAAACCAGATCAACATCATAATTTTAAAAACTTTTTTTTATCTAAATTATAAGAAAACTTGTTTTGTTTCGTAACAAATTCGCTAAAGAGTAGAGAGAGAAAGTGTAAATATTTCCTTCCACCTAATGGTTGTCTCTTAAAATGAAGAGTTTGCATCTTAATTCAAATCAGATTCTATCTAAATGGATAGATAAAGATAGATACTTTAACAAAAAAAAAAGAAATTGGGAAATTGTTTACCGATGAAATTTTGCGTGTTAATATCGATTGTGAAATACAGCCCAACCTTAATTCGGTGTCGTAACATTCTGGAAAACCCAAAATTACCATCAAGAAACTTTCTTTATTCTTATAAAAAAATCTATACCAAATTAAGTATCCAAAGATACATAATTCTTACAACACTCTTCCATGGTGTCCTTTTTTACACTCACCTTATCGGTGATAACGTTTTCCTGAATAGATTACGATTAAAATAAATATCTTCAAGATTCCCTTTCACCATCAACGTGACTGGGATCGGCTTTAAGTTGAAGATGTGGTTGTTACAACTACTCCGAAAGCTGTTTGCTGTATTTTGCATTTATTCTGGGCCTATTACTAAACAATCTCTACTATTAGCTTGTACATGACAAAAAGAAGTAATTCAACCAGTAATGCTTAGTGCGCCAAAGGTGGCCAGTAGAAATTTCAAGAAAGGATTTGGGGCATGAACTGGATTTCTATACACTTAGCTGTCTAGAAGTCTTGATATAAAAAGTTTGGAAACGGAGTTAGAGGCCATGAGTGAATAGGATTGGGTGTGCAAAGAAAGCAGTTGTTGTCAGCATAACACAAGCTAAGTACTGAAGATGGATATATAGTAAAAGGAAGTAAAGATAATGATGAATAGATTCTAAAGTATAAAATTTACATGTTGTTTAAAAACAACTTTTGTCATCACATTAAAACAGATTTAATTTTTATATTTTTAATGATGAAAAGGTGACCGTTTAGTTACGTGAACACCCAATTCCTGAAGTCGCGTAAACGCAAATATGTCGACCGCGGAGAAAGTGGTTATGCGATCGTTCGGGCATTACTTAAGTGACCTCCACTTTCATTAATTTTCCACAACTTCGCAACTTTGATAACTTGAAATGAAAATAACCCAAAATAGAAATCATCAAAACGTTTATTTTATTTTTTTTTACTTCAAACATAAAAACAAAATTAAATCAATTTATTATTCTAAAATCCAGGAATGATTTTTCCTCTTTTCGCAGCTTTCTTTAATTTAGTAACCTTCTTCTCTTTCTGTCTTTTTTCAATGTTTTCCGTGCGTTTTTTCTGTCGTTCATCTTTCGCTTTTTCAACACCTTGAATTCTAGCTTCCCATTTCTTCTGGCTGGATTTCTTTTTTTGTTCATTCTTTTTAATCGATTTTTTTAATAAAACCGGATCGTCTTTAACTTTAATTCCTTCCGCTTTAGCCAAAGCATTCTTCCAAGCGGTTTTTTCCCGAATTTCAATTGCTTTTTTAGTTTCTCCAACCGATTTTAATTCAGCAACTTTCTTATTTACATCTTCAACTTTTTCAAGTATTTTTTTAGGATCTTTTTCCATTTTTTTCTTCTTTTGATTACCTAATCCATCGAAATTAATCTTTGAAAATACCATCGTTTTCGTTTTTTCTAATTCTTTATTATCTCCGTTTTCTAATTTAATAGTTGGTTCGCTTTTAATTTTAGTTTGTTTATTTCTATTTTCTTGTTTTATTTTCTTTTTAAGTCGATTCTTTAAATGCTTCTTTTGTAATTGTTGTTTATAATTCGAATTTGACTTATTTTTTAATTTATTTATTCTTTCTTGCAAATCAACCAACGATTTAGCTCTCGTCGTTTTTGAATTATTAAAATTTGGTTTTTTTGATAAAAGATCATCCTCCAATTCATTATTTTCTAAAAAAATACTTTAATTAGAAAATTCAAATTGAAAAAATACTTTATTACATTAACAACAGGTGGCGCTTAACAAGATGTCATTTATGTGTCATTAATTTATTTATTATAATAAAAAAAAGTAATTTAAAAAAATAATTAAAATGTTCTTTCTATTATTTTAGATTTATAAATATTAACAAAAATTAATCGAAACATTTATGTACTCACCTTCTTTTATTGTCGGGAGGCATAAAACATTGTATAAATCCTTAATAAACACATTTTCACGTTGTAAAATTTTTTCAACTTTATTCAACTTCGGTTTCGATTTTTTGTTCAATTCAGTCATTTTGTTATAAATTTTAATACACACGTGTTTTTCGCTTCAAATATTTAACGCATTGAACACAAAAACAGAAATTTTGTTATCTTTTTTCAACACTACACTTCTCCCATTTTTGTTATCTCTTTCTAACATTAATCAATGCCGACTAAAGTGAGGTTAAGTATGTTTTAAAAAATATAATATCTCACAATTTAATTCATAAATAATAACAATTCTTTGCATATATAATTAAAATTAAAAACTTAGTTTCAAATTAAAATATTAATAACAACTATAGCTTTTTAACTTTTTTAGAAATCAGTTAATTTAGCATTAAAGTTGGCAATACACACAACAGTTGCATTAAATGTCATTTTGACGTTTGCAATTTTTAGTGCAATCCACATTTTACCGGTTAAAACATATTGTACTGAACCAATTACTCGACATTGAATAAACTTCCTTTTAGATTATCAATAAAAAACTCCATTATGTCCGGGGATACAAAAAATGGTAAGCGTTTAAGTTAAAATTTACTTTTTATGCAAAAAAACAATTCTGATGCAACATTTTCAATTATGCTAAGACTTGCATCATTCTATTTTAATTAAAATCCACCTTTTATTTAATTTAGGTATTTACACATCTGAAAAGACGGGTTCGGATGAAACGGGGAAAGGCACGGAGTCGTCGCCATTCAAAACGATTCTCCAAGCGATGAGATTTGCGGGTGCTGAACCATTTCCGACGATTTTCGTTGATAGCAAAGAAGATGGGAGTAAATTTGAACCTGCTGCTAAGTCCCAATTGAAGAAAATCCAAAAGATATGGGTAAGAGAAAATTATAAGCATGCGGATAAAGCTAAAAAGGAAGAAGAAGATGCTGAAAGAAGAAGCAAGAATTTAGAAGAAGCTAAAAAAATGGTTATAAGTGAAGATAAATCTTTACCTGAAGCGAAAAGGATTAAAATTATGCAAGGAAAAGAATTTAGAGATAAAAGGGTGGTTATTTATGGGTGGGTGCATAGAATTCGTCGCCAGGGTAAATCTTTAATGTTTATTACATTGAGGGATGGAACAGGGTTTTTACAAAGTGTTTTAAACGATATGCTTTGTCAAACTTATGATGCTTTAGTTTTATCTACTGAATCAAGTATTAAACTTTATGGAAAATTGGTTGCTGTTCCTGAAGGAAAATCTGTATGTATTTAATAATGTTATAAAAAGCATACATTTTTAATAAATTATTATTAGGCTCCTGGTGGACATGAACTTCAAGTTGATTATTGGGAATTAATAGGTTTGGCTCCTCCAGGAGGTGCTGATTCGATCTTAAACGAAGAAGCTCTTCCAGATGTTCAAGCTGAAAACCGTCACATCATGGTTAGAGGAGAAAATACATCGAAAGTTTTAAGAATGCGATCAATTTTGATGCAAGCATTTAGAGATCATTACATTGATAGGGGTTATTGTGAAATAACGCCACCTTCAATTGTACAAACACAAGTAGAAGGAGGGTCCACTTTGTTTAAATTAGATTATTTTGGGGAAGAAGCTTACTTAACACAATCATCCCAATTATATTTAGAAACTTGTTTACCTTCAATGGGGGATGTTTTTTGCATTGCAGAAAGTTTTAGGGCAGAACAAAGTAGAACAAGACGTCATTTAGCTGAGTAAGTACAACCAGGATTGCCAGGTTACACGTATAGAATGTCGTGAGCCATGTCATAAAAAATCGTTTGTATGTAAAAGTGATATAATTAAAAGGAAATAAAATATTACAGGTTAAGTAATTTTTGGCGCCATCTAGCGGCGTATAAATATAAGTAATAGAGACATTTACAGTAACCTACAATTCGAGTTGAAAATGCTATGATTTTATTAACAATAATTATTATATTATTTTTGTAATATAAATCGTTGGACCTGACAACCTTGAGTACAACTTTAAAACTTAAATATTTTTAACACTCCAATTTTTTTTAATTAGATACACTCATGTTGAAGCTGAATGTCCATTCATAACTTTTGATGATTTATTGGATCGTTTGGAAGATTTAATATGCGATGTAGTTGATCGCGTTTTAAAATCACCATTGGGAGATGTTGTTTATGAATTAAACCCCGATTTTAAAGTTCCAACTCGACCTTTTTTACGAATGAACTATTCGGAAGCAATCGATTATTTAAAAAAGAACAACATTACTAAAGAAGATGGTTCATTTTACGAGTTTGGTGAAGATATACCGGAAATGCCCGAACGAAAAATGACCGATCAAATCAATAAGCCGATAATGCTTTGTAGATTTCCGGCCGAAATTAAATCTTTTTATATGTCGAAATGCCCGGAAGATCGTCGTTTAACGGAAAGCGTTGATGTTTTATTGCCGAACGTTGGGGAAATTGTTGGTGGATCAATGAGGATTTATGATTTTGATGAATTGATGGAAGCTTATAAAGGAGCTGAAATTGATCCTAAACCTTATTTCTGGTATACTGATCAAAGGAAATATGGTACTTGTCCTCATGGTGGTTATGGGCTTGGATTGGAAAGATTTGTTTGTTGGTTATTGAATAGATATCATATACGAGAAGTTTGTCTTTATCCTAGATATTTGAATCATTGTAAACCTTAATTGTTATTTGGTTAAAATTTGGTGAAGCTTTAAGGAAATTTATGAAAAAATAAGCTTGGATTTTATTTGCATTTATTATACACAATTTAATTAATAAATTGATAATATAATTATATTTTTAATTTACATCCCTTTATTAGAAAATTTGACACACAATATTGATTACTTCGCTGCGGTTTAATTATATAATAAAGTGTAATAATACAACCAAACCAAGTCATTCATTATTTTCTTTGAAATTTTACATAATTATATTAATTGTAGGTGAGGTTACGAAATTTGTTTTTGTATTAATAAAATGTTGTAAATACATGGATTCATTATGTATTGTTGACCGTTTACATTTTTTATTGTTATTTAATCCATGTAAAGTTGATACGAAGTGATTTTGTAGGATTTTGACAGTGACATAACCTCAAATTTCATTTTTTATTAATTCCTTATTATAATTCATGTTTGTCCGGGTGAAACTATTGAAAACGATAATCTTAGCATGTCTAGAACGAAAACCATCCATCATATGAGAGTTTTGATGAAGAATTGGACGAAAATCTGTAGATTAAATATTTGAATATATTTTTGAAGCTGGACGTTGATAACTAAAAGAAAATGTTCCGGAATCAGCACAAACAAAGTTAATGCAACAAAACTACAACATTTCATATATAAATATTGTTGAAATAGAAATTTCAATAATTTTTGAAAAAATTTAAATGGTGACATTTGACACTTTTAAGTTGGCTATACCGAGGAAATTTAAATTACGAATTTCAAGTTGAAGAATCTAACCAATTCTTTACCAAATCTAATCGATTATTTAAAACGTTCTAGCAATAAACAAACGAAACTGGTAGATTTGAGTGGATTTGAGTGTGATTTCGAACGTGAGTAGGAGCGCACGCTAATTTTGTCCGCGATCATTTAAAAAACCACAACAAAAGTTAGGTTACTTGTCAATCACCATTGTGACATAATCTCAAAAATAGTAAACTTATTTAATAAGATAAATAAGAAGATAAGATTAAAATTATTCAATTTTAATAATAAACAAGAAAACTGGTTCGTGATCCAATTAGTCCAGCATACCATTCCGAAGAATTATTCAAATTCAATCAAGAATCATTGTTTCCGATTCCTTTGAAGGGTTCAAGTTTCCTTAACCGAGAACTTCAGTAAACTACAAGATAAGGTAAGTTATAATTTTCAATTTAATTATTATTCGTTTTTTTTTATTTTCATTTAAAATTTACTTATTTATTTTAACCTTAATGCAAGTTTGTATCGATGCGAGGCAATGCTCTGCCTCGCATTGTTAAAAGCTGCCTGGTTTTGTATCAAAGTGGTATATTTTTAAATTTTTTATAAAAATAAATGTAACTAAATAATTTAAACTAAATTGTAGTATAACGTGTTGAGTATACGTGATGCATGCACATACGAGATTGTCTAGATTGCCTCATCTATATTTTTAATAAAAAGAGGATCGTCGGTCACGAAATACACACCCAGTTTTACGTGGGACACGTAAATCCGTAATCCGCGGGATTCGAAAATCATTAGAGAGCTGTACCATTTAAACTTGAACAATCACCCTAAACACAATCCAATACCAAAATGTATATAGTTACAGTTTTATTGTTCCAACAAATTTCAGCTCAACCCCAAAACATTTCGACAACATTATTCCCCGAATTACAATCGAACTACATCGGCAACCTTTTAAAAACGTACGAAAATTTTACCTTTGTTTTTCATACTGAAAATGAAAGCTTTTTTCGTGTTAATTCGATTTATAAAATTTTCGAACTAAACGTTCATCAAACTATGTTGGTTTATAATTATGATTGTGATGGAAAAGAGAATATCGTAAGACAGTTTGGAGAGAGATTTTTAAATTTGGTGGTGATGAACGACATTTTTAAATTCGAACGTTTCTCGAAAGAACCCGGAAGGATGGCCGTAAATGACGTCGTTTTGTTATTTTTGTACGAGAAAAATTACAACGACGACGATGTTGAGAAATGGGTTAAAATGGGCGATCATAAAATAATCGGAAACGTTTTAATTCTAGATTTAAGAAATTACGATTTAATCACGTTAAATTCAACTTTATTTTACTCGATTAAAGGTGGAGGAATCCGAGATGTGTTAGAAACAACTAATAAAAGTTATGTTGAAGTAGATAAAAAATTACTTTTACCTAAAAAGTTTGATAATTTACAAGGTCATTTATTACACGTTGGTTTCATTAATTATTTCCCGTACATTTTCTGTTTTGAATACGAGGAAGCGGATTTATCTTTGGGCCCGGATCGGGTTAAAGTTTGCAAAAATGCCTACGGCGTTGAAGCTGTGCTTTTACAAGTACTTTCGGATCGAATGAACTTCACGTATAAACTTGTAACTTATCCGGGGGAGTCTCATGGATTTATTTTTGAGAAAGTCGTCGAAAAAAGAGTTGATTTTGTTGTAGGTGGCATAACAAGAACTTACAGTAGAGTGTTAAAAGCAACTTTTACAATGTCTCATATCAGCGAAGGATATACTTATTTATATATTTATAAAGTAGGAGTTTTTTCTTATTTATTTATGTTCTTTTTTCCATTTCAATGGGAGTTATGGGTTTTTATAATATTTGTTGTAATTGTTATTGCTTTATTAACTTTTTTTTTAATTGGCTTAAAAATTAGTTTTTATAATAGTTTAATTGGAACTTTAAACGCTTTGCTAGAACAAGTTGTAACAATGAAACAAAATTATTTTAACAACCAACAAATTCTTTCTGCTTTACACCTAACGTGGTGGTTTGTTTCAATTTGTATCGCGACTTATTACCGGGCTAAATTAGCTTCACTTTTTATTAAACCACCTCATCAAGAACCGACGAGTGTACAAAGAATCCTCGATGACGGTTATGAAATAACCGTAGATGGAGTTTTAGAAGATGCGATTAAAGAATTTTATCAGCACCAATCGACGGATCGAACAATGAAGAAAGCTGCAGAAAACACTGTTTACATTAAAGGATTATGCCCGGTCCTAAATTACACCTTAACCCACAAAGCTGCTTTATTCGACGAATTTGGTTACACAAAATACCACAGTCAAATTGAATGTCCTAATTTAATCGGTCCACACAAAAAACTAAACTACGAATTTGCTAATTTAAGAACAGTGGGTAAACCTTTGATTGTGATTCCTCATGGGTGGCCATTACCCAAAGGAACTCCATTCACTTTTCCTATAAATATGTATAAACTTAGATTAAGAGATGGTAAGTAACTTTAAAATTTGTTTATGATACAAAAATTTTTTTTTATATTTAAGCTGGAATTATTTCGGGTTGGATTAAATTTCAAATTTCAACCGGGGGTTTGTGGTCAATTAAAAACGCTCAAGATAACAGTGCGATTCGAAAAAGTACAGATCAAGTTCACATAACGTTATATTTAAGTGCTTTCTTAATTTTATTAATTGGTTATGTATTATCTATTTTAGTGTTTATGCTTGAATTAATAAATTTTAAATTAAATAAAGCAAATTAAGAATAAAATAAATGTATAGTATTAAATATCATGTTTATTTCAACATTTAAAATCGTTTAAATCATATTAACCACTCAAAATAACGCTATTGATTACATTAGTTTGGATGGATGAACATGATAGAAATGCAAATACGAGTGGTAAGCATTGAAACTCACAAAAGGGACATGAAGAGGCACTGTTGCATGCCATTTAGCGCATACACAATGCCAAATGGAGTAATATCGAGTTACATCGAGTCAACGAACTCTCAAATTGTGAAATAAGACATTTTACGACGAATATAAATTTTGATCGTTTCCTTATTAAAGTTTAATAGTATCTAGGTGGTATTTATTGCGTTTAAAATGTGTGGTTTTATTTATGTCTTTATTTTTAAGTTTTAATGAACTGCTTCTTTTGACTCAATCGTTCCAAAAATATAATTTGACTGAAACGGTGGTGTTACAGGATTGAATAATGCAAGAAATAGACTTATTGATCTGGTCTAAGTATGGGTTGCAGGCTTATAGGGGCCATTGACCCGTGACCTCCAAACGGGTGGCTGCTGGCTTGCAGTTGCACGTAAAGGGGCATGCGTACCCGGTGCCCTACAATTGTACACCTGTACACCCCTCGCCGAAAGCTCATCTCCTGACCTAGCAAATAAGTTGCGGCTGTTTTAGGTGTCATTACAGACTACTACTACATATGCATTGATATACCGATGATATGAACATAGAACTTTGGTTGGTGCATTAACATACGCTAAAGGATTCTATCTCAAAGAAACCATAGTTGCCGTGCGCATTTCACTACTGCGGTTAGTTATTTGTTTAACGAGGGCGGAAGGTAATGGTTCGAGTCGAAGCGTGTTAAAATTTGCCGGAATCACGCGACCAAGCAGGAAATTGCTACAGTGTTAGTTTCATACAAACTAAACCACTAAAGTGATAAACAGCTTCATAAAATATACTTACACCTACATACCTGCTGCTTGAATATATCTACTTGATGTGACTTGGAAAATATCAATTAGGTTTGTTTTCGTTCGAAATCCGAACACAATCTAAATTACGCAGAACAATGTAGAAGTAAAAATCTCGAAGACATTGAAACTTAGAAATTTACGGCTTTTGTCAGCACTTAGCCCGCCCACCTCTCGATTTAATGGACGACATCGAGAATGGACCAAGTTCAGAATTTCCGCCTCGAAACGAAAAGGAGTCTTTGAGAAGTCATCGCTGTTTTTAAAAGTTCACGTGGCCACCGAAGCCACCGTAACCGATTCACAATTGCTCGGCACTCTTGAGTAGATACTCTAAAAATTTTAACGAGTAAAGGACTTCTCCATCAAACTTGACGCTTTATACAATAAATTTTCTTTAAATGAACTTTAAAATTTCTAAGGATCTTGTTAAATAAGACTTCTTAAGTTAATCTTTTTGCATTGTTTGATGAATAATGGAAAATATTACTAATGTATTCTAGTAACATGTCCTTGAAATCTTGTAAATTCAATATTACCGTGTTATGATGCATAACAATAGTGTGAGAGTGATTCCGTTATAATTTGCAATCTAATTGCA